GGTCGTCCAAGGGTGACTTGGAGGAGGTCATGCGAGGAGGAGATGAAAGCATGTGGACAGACCTGGAGCGGGGTGAAAAAGTTGTCAGAAAACAGAAGGCAATGGAGACGTGCAGCTGAAGCCCTATGTTCCCCTATGAACTAAAGGATATAATAATAATAATAATAACAATAATAATTGCTGAAGCCATCTCCATCAAGCGCCTGAAACCCGATTTACACGTTCAAAAAGAAGCGGTTTTCAGTCTTTCCTTAACCTGGTAACTGTATATTTTCACCATCTCTTTCATCTGATTACGTAACGCAGAAAGTTTCCATTGAGTACGATCATTACTGTTCGGGGTAAAGTGTTTATTATATATATGCACATATAATTACTGTATGCATATATTGATTGATTTTTGTTTAAAAATGAACTCTGTGTAAGTATGTTAAAATTGTTTCTGTAGACATACTTAATAATAACTTTGGCCTGTTAGCAGCTGAGAAGCCGACGAAATAAATAATGGTACCATTTAATTCTACAAAACCAGTTGTTCCTGCTAACTGGCGAAGTCACCTAGCATGAAGACCATATCATTAATTTGACTAATAGAGTTCAGTCAGTACCAACACCTAAAACTAGACAAATGACATGCGTTACACCCCAGTGACCAATCAACGTATCCATTGCAATCGTGAGCCTGACTGAAAAGCTCTCAGTGGTAACGTATCTGATTGTGGTACTTAGTGACATGGAGTCTAATCACAGAGGAGAATGAGTTCCTTAAGGGTTGCAGACACGCCTCACTGATGAGTGTCAACAAGCACACGACCAAGATCCATAGCTCCCTGCCGATTGCCTCCAACCATCATACATCAGATCCTAGTAACCGACTAATGTATTTCTACTTCTCTTACACATTTGTATTTGTCGATTATGTCGTTGATCTATTTCTATTCATTTAATTTTCATGTGCTATTCCAAAGTGTCAAGATTAGAACTGATACACTTCTATGAAGGAATCTGCATTGATGCATCTACCTAGTAGTGTTGATTTAGTGTTTCAATTTGACAAATTCTTGATTGAAAATTCTTTCCAGAGAACAGCAAAACAATTGGGCAAGAGGGTAAGTAGTAAATCTCTGGGAATAACTAACAACATTTCAACATCATAGGAAAGGGATGGTTAATAAAATCATGAAGAATTCTAAAAACTCACCACCTCATATAGAAGTCAGAGTTGAAGATGTTGTCTAGGGAGACATTGGGAGCTTCCCCATTAAACCATCCTGCTTACAGAACATAATTACATCAATGGCGTCCACCTGAGCTATAAATCTTCTCTATCACGTCTAAATGAATATGTGAGATTTTTGTTGAACACTTTCTAAATCAACTACGAAATCTTGATACCGATCGTGTTTTTTTTTGTGTGTAGTCAGTAGTAACATTCAACTGAAAGCAAAGTATTTTCATTAAAAATAAGATTGATCCCATAGAATTTTATCAGCTCATAATAATGTTCACTCTTTTACATTAAAAGTGGACATGGAATGAAAATCGCACTAGGTGGCGGGTGTCTGACATCCCAACGAGCTAAACGACATCGCCTGACTACCCTGAACTTCTATAAAACCTATTAACATCCGACATAGGATCTCACAACAGATTGATTTAAAATGAATAAGTACTACTTATATCTGGCTCAATATCATTCAACAGCAATATGACAATGGCACGTGTCTGGCGGTCCACAACGGAAAACTTGGCGAGGCGTTCGAAGTACATACAGGAGTAAGCCAAGGATACCTATTATTACCGATGACATTCTTAATTGCGGTGGACTGCATCACGCATCAGACTGTTCATTGGGAGCGAGGAGACAATAATACGGTGAACAACTGATAATAAAACTCTAGAAGGTCTGGATTTACCAGACGATTTTTATTTAATGTCACTCAGGCTGGAAGATTTGCAGGCGAGAACCGACAAAGTGGCTGAATAGGCAGCGAAGATAAGACTCCAAGTGAACATAGGGAAGACGGAGGTGATGAAGATAACCAAACAACAGCAACAACAACCAGCGCCAATTACCACCAAAGGGAGAGATTTAACAGAGGTTACTTTTTTCACTTATCTGGGAAGCATCGTTTCAACTACAGGCAATCAGAATGAATGAGGAATGTGACATCAAAGCCAGTCAAAATCAGAAAGACAAGATACGCCTTCATCAACCTCAAGCTAGTTTGGAAATCTTCACTGACTCACAATTCAGATTTTCAACACAAATGTCAAGGTTGTCAGTCAGTTCTTCTATACGGGTCAGAAACTTGCACAGCGAGTCACAAAAAGCATTTCCAATAGGCCAGTGTAGACTTTTATCAACAGCTGTTTTCGCTGGCTCGATACTGAAGTTCAAATGGCCGGCCAACCAGAAATAATTAGTAACAATAAACCAGCCAAGAACCGATTGCTCAACAAATATGTAGGAGAAAATGGAGATGAATCGGACATACGTTAAAGAGGCCGTCGAATGACATTGTGCTCAATGTAGGTCATCGCTTGAGTGGGATCCAAATGGGTCGTTCAGGGGTGACATGGAAGAGATTGTGCTAGGTGGAAATGAGAGATTATGGTCAGTCATGAACCCAGTCGAAGAGGACAGCACCAAATAGAAGTGGGAATGTATTGTTGCAGCCCTATACTCTACTCGGAACCCAAGGGACTAATAATAATAATAATATCTGGCTAGATAAACGTTCAATAAATTCATCATCTTCCGTCTTTCCCTTCATTTATTCTCATTATCATTAATCCGATGACTATCTTATACAATAAAAAAGACACTTTGAAAGTACTATTGGTCAATTGCTTGTAACTTTTTTTTCCACTTATTTTGTCAATAATTTCAAAGACTTTAGCTTCACAGTACCATAACTGGTCTACCACAGTAAAATGTAAGGCTGTTCAGTCAGTTAGCAGTTGACGAAACTATTTTTTGAGTAGCACATGTAAATTAGTAAAATCATGTGACTTTTTGTTCTCAGTAATGACTTTCTTCTTACAATCAAGTCCACTTGTATGAGCACTACTTTTAAGACAAATGTGGAAGTGAAATATAGTGTAGCAGCTACCATCGTTTGATAACCTTAAAATACAGAAGATTTTCAAACATCGGTGTTCAGTTAAGACGTTCATAATATCTCAGCCTGATCACCATTTTCATGTAGGTGAATTAACGGATGAGACAGCCTATTTACGGCTTACCGAGCAGCTTTCAAATTACCGTAAAGAAGATGACCCACGATCCCCTGCTGATCGAATCCTAGAAATAGATATGGACCTTTGGTTAAGAGAATAACACAAAGACAGCCTATAATACATACGCTTATCTATCACACTATATAAATTAAACTCAAAGCTTCTGAGTGAGATGTATCATCATCAGTGAGACGTCAACTTGTTACCTTCTTATTTTAATGTGTTAACCTTAAGGACACTTTCAAGTGTTTGTTTGGAAGGATTTGGTTCAGTTTGTCTGTTTCCGACATAGAACTCTGCACCGATGTGCGGAAGTTCGAGTCGCCACACTTCCCTCTTGTAGCACACAAAGCAAGAGAAGAAAGTAAGAAGAAACGCATAATGGAGACAGTAAACAGAGGTGTAAGACAAAGGAATACTAATAACGAAGAACAATATAGTTTCATTAGAAATCATAAGTCACAAGGAGTAGATGCATCTACACCAGCCATTGAGAACGATTTTGAGCCATATCACCAACTGTTTCTAACCACTGGTTTTTACCGTCCCGAGGACCCCAACCAGTCAGGAAGTCTACATCTTCCTACGTGGCTGGCTTAAACTAACTCTTGTGGATTTCATTGACTGATGAAGCCATGTTTTGGTTTGATTGCCGCTAGCTCTTTTCCAGCCTGACCCTATGTCAGATAACATTGCCCATCGAGGAAGGGAATCGATGGCTAGGCATACGTAACACATGTCCTAACCATCTTAGTCAATGTAGTTTCACAGCCTCATCGACTGATTTCCCCTCCTTACCTAGCACTCAATCGATGCCTAACCACAATATTACACACTATATTATACCGCCTAACACGAGAGATAGAACGCAGATACCTATGATCAAAGATAGCTAGCTAGCCTTTTGATGTCTTCCATTTCCAACTGCCGTGTCTCACAGCCATAAAGGAGGACGGAGCGAACTGAGGAGCAATACACACGCCCTTTAGTCGACAGCCGGATATCACGTCTACTCCAGAGATGGTTTAAGTTTGCATACGCCAAATGAGCTTTCTGTATCCATGGTGAGATTTCGTAAGCAGCCAATCCATTGGGGCTGATGCAACTACCCAAATAAGTAAAGTGGTCAACAACACATTACCACTTCACCCCCTACCTCTAAGCTAGGAGTCGATGTAGTGCAGTCCTGTAACATCATCTTACATTTGGCGGGAGCGAATAGCATGCCAAACATTCGTAGATTGCAGCTCAGTTCAAGGTGTTCAGAAGACTCTGCATTTTGTCAGCGTCCTGGCTTAGAAGGACTATATCGTCTGCATATTCTAAGTCAGCGAGATTATTCCCTGGTAACAAATAAATCCCTAAGACTCTGAAGTGAGTTAGGGTTAAATCTATTCGAAAACTTGGGAGTACTGACAGTTGTTTCGTCCTTGTTTAGGACTCTTCCTCAGTACGCATCCACCCAAGGTTTCGAACTCAGGATCTTCCGGCTATAAGACGACGTCATAGACCATTCAGGCCCTTGGTACAGACCCAATGGCTCATGAAATCCAACTTCTGTCAATTCACGATATACAGCGCAACCACCCAGCCAGTGCTATCGGCGACTAACTGCTCTCTTATTTGACATTTATCGAAAATCTAAATTTGCCAAACAAACAATGCCTAACAACAACTAACTACTATGGCGCAATTACTTCTGTCTGTCTTTCGAACACACATACAACAAACTTCAGAAGGAAAGCAAACAAAAAAACAAAACAAACAACTATCTCATATCCATGACATTACTTCTCAGCATAAATCAACTATACACATGGAATATTAATTACACCACAATAACATATTAGTATGAATTTAATAAAGAAGAAAACCACACTTAGCATATTTGTCACAACAAGATTATTATTATTATTATTTAAGAGTAATGCGCTTATTGTTTCTTTTTGTTTCGAAAGAATGCATCAACACACACATTTAGAAAAAAAAGGAATAGCAGCTTTTGTTTAAGCTGATACAGCATATAAAGTAAAGAATAAGAAGTCAAACAGTACTGGGTAAAAAAAGGAGGGAGGAGAGGGGAACGGAAGGTGGAACTGATGATGACCTTTTATTTTCTGTATATGCATATCTTATGGAAAGTGAGAGATGATGTGGTTCACATTATAAAAACAAATTAGGAAATAGTAAGTCAGCATACTACTAACAATAAGAATAATAATAGTAGTAGTATATTATTGTTGTTGTTGTTGTAGAAGTAATATGGGTTATAATGTTGCTCACAGAATAAACCACAGCGGTACTACTAATACTAATACTGCCTTCTGACAATGAGGATTGAGTAAGTAGGTGAGGGGAGGAAAAGAAGGAGAGGGGAGGTGATGAAGCAGGATAATAAGAGAATAACACAAGACAACACTCGCCGTCTCGGATACGTTGGGGGTTTGATGATTTGTTTATGTTTTTCTTTTATTTATGTAAATAACTGTAGAAAAGTTAATTAACTGTGAGTAGTATTGAAATGTTTTTTCTTTGCTATGATGTGAATATCTAGAGAAAAGGGGGTTAAGGGTAAATGAGACTCAAGTTGTTTTTTTTTTCGTAGAACTGGTGAACTTTTGTGCTTGTGTGATAGGAATAATGACACAGCGATCATGTGATAAGGAGAATTGTGAATGATAAAAGAAAAAAGAACTGTAACCATTTTGGAGACATAACACAGAGGGAGGGAGGGAGGGAGAGATTTAAGGCAATAATATTAGATCATCATTATGCATAGAAAAAAGTGTTTAAGTATAACAATCGAAAGACCAAAAACTGAAAGGATGTGTATCATATGCAAATAAGAATGTGTTATGTATGCTATAATAATAATAATAATAACTGAATAGGCACTGTATTCAAACTCAAAAGAAAAAACAAACATTTACACATGTATATACACACGCACTCACTCACTCACTCATTCATTGACTCACTTACCCAAGAGGTCATAGGTGAAAGAATGCATCAAAGCAGTCAGATAAATGGAGGTAGTCAGAAATTATTAAATAAGCCTTCCCCCCCCCCCCGGGGTTGGGGCGGAGAGAAAGGACTATTCTGACTTCTGATTCACACATCTTAATGTGAATTGCATAGTTGAAACTACACATAAAAGTAAATAGAATGCAAACTTTTGATTAATCAATCTGTTCAAGATGTTCATTTGATGTTGATGGAGGTGGTAATGGTGTATTCGTGATAGCTGTATCCGTTGTACTAATTGATTCAGGTTGATCTGTAGACTGACTTGGATTTTGTCTACGCACACGATGACGACGATGACAATGATGTCGATGTTGACGTCGGCATCGATGACGGTGTCGATTCTCCCAATATCTTGGTAAATTAGTCAGCAGAGAATTAGGTGATGCACCTGTCTCGATAGATTCTTTAATTTTACTGAGAAATTCATTGACAGTAATATTATTACTATTGCTACTACTACTACTGCTAGTAGTACTAATGTTAGTATTATTATTATTATTATCCTCATTATTAGTAGAGGATTGCGGTACGTCTACTTTCGACGTTTGTATTGATGTTAAATTTGGAATATTTGTATATAATCGTTGCCAAGCATGAAATAAAGAGTTAAGAAATACTGGTTTACCATCTTTATTAGCGCATAGCATTAACCAATCCCATGTACTTCTCAATACTTGATCAGAATCTAATTCTTGTAAGAAAGGTAATAAAATTTGACAAAATCCTGCTTCCCAATCTCGTCGAGAATGTGAAGATGATGATGATGTCGACTGAGATGGAGTAGTAGAAGTAGATGCAGCATTATCATGATTATTACTATAATCAGAAGTACTTTGTATATTATTATTATCTGGAATATTAAGTTCAAAGCATTCTGCGCTTGAAATATTATCATCTGGATTCGAGCCTAATTCACATTTTTGACTAGGTGAAGACATTGGACTAAGTAAATCAGAGTCTATGATACCTGATGTTTGCATTTCTGTTGTAGTCACACGATCTTCATCACGTTCTTCATCAGCTATAGGAGCTCGATCACTTATTGTCAATGTGGGAGATAATGAACTCAAAGTACCAGGATGTTGATTCATGTCTTCTATATCTTCATCAGTACAACTAGGCGATGATATACCACACATATCGACTGCAACGGAATGATGTAAATTTGTCAGTTCAGTTGTTGCACTAGTTTCACCTTCTGCACATGAAGATGTTGATGATGTGCTTGACGATGATGATGATGATGACGGTGACCTTGAATGTGGAGAAGGCGATCGAGTAATACCAGTGGATGCTTCAGTTGACTGTCTTTCTTGTTCAGTTATTTCTAAAAGCTCACGATTATCTGAAGCAGATGTGGAAGTCGGTTGTTGCCATGATCGATAATATCGTCTTCTTCGAAGTGTACGTAATCTTGTTTGATCGGTATTATTATTATTATTATTATCATCATCGATAGAGAACGATATAACTGCATCAGTAGTCTGAGGAGTTGTAGACGTCTGTTGAGACATACTTTCACCTGTAAGATCACTGTGCTCTATCACTGTATCTTGTTCTTCATTTTCTTCTTCTTCAGCTTCTTCTAAAGCACTTTGAGCCATACATGTTGGTGCTTCACGACGACTAATACTGGTAGAGCCTAAAGATGTTGACTGAGTGACTACATCTTGTTTTTTTCCATGGTGAGATTCATGACGATGGTGTTGTACTCTTAAACGTCGACTATGAGATAAAATGAATGGTTTACGTTTCACTTTTAAAGCACTTAATAATCCACAAGAATCTAAAATAGAAGTGAAGAGAATGAATGATAAATTATCATCTGCAACGTTTATAATGACAATAGTCATAATAAAGGTAACTTAAGAAGATCAATCATTGCACAGATATTCTACATGATAACACTCAAATCGATGTTATTTTCAACCTGTAGCATTCTACTATTTCAAAGCTTCACATATTTTTTCTTCTTCTGGTTCATGATATCAATAAATCGCCTATTGGTGATTTGATTTTCCCGCTATGTTTTGAAACGAAACGCGCGCGAATTTCAAATAGTACAATTTGACGTTATTCGGGTTATGATAAACGTCATCGCGAGGTGTTTTTTGCATAGGCTATCGTGCGTCGGTGGTACGGCGGTTAGGACTCTCGCCGACCGTGCACATGATCCGGAGTTCGACTCCCTGCCGACGCACACCTGATATCTATGGTTGGCCTGCAAAATTTGGGCTACCGATATCACATGCTGAAAATTTCATACTTGTACCAAAAATACGGTGTGGAATCAAGCTGTAATCAAAAATAAAAAAAGTAAACACCACACAATAGTTATTACATCTGTGTAGCAAAATCCCCATAGAACACCTTCAAAATAGACAAAAGTAACATCTGATATGACTATAGCATTCCACTTAACATGTAATGGAAAATCATATAACTCCAGCTACCCGCGAGAAATGAAATAATGGTGTAACGGCAACTGACAAGGAGATTGAGTAAAGAAATATTTATTTGAAATCTGGTATCTGAATATGGCGAAATTATATACACCTTATCTTTAAATCTTATATTTGCACAGATCTTCTGTATTGTGCTACTTCTAGCCTTCGTATTGTGTTCATTTGTCTTCTTTTCGTATCTCCCATGTTTTGCCGCAACACTAAATCATTTACTCCCTTTGATATTTAATCTGTCCCTCCGCTACTTGATATTTTTCATGCCGATGGACGTCTCTTTATATACTACTGATAAATCTTAGCAGTAGCACACGCCACAGTAACTGACCACTGATCAACCTAGTCAGGTTGGAGGAAACAAAGGAAAAGTAAATTTATTGGACAATGACTCATTTACCCACTTGGTTTTTCAAGTAATTCCGTAATCAGCATATTTTATTCAATAGAAAGAACTTCTTGATGGTGCACACAATATTTACTGGCGTTATGGTAAATTAAATTGCATATTATGTCTGTTAGATGAATGGTTATGACAACTGCGTACAGACAGGATTCATGATTAGAACTAAGTGCACGACTTTCAGCTAATAGTTCCCAAATTTAACAAAAATTAATTTACACTCTCTTGTTAAGGAACAAAATAATGGTATAATACCTGCCAAACCAACTGTGGCTCACAGCTCTCTACAATAAATACATCACACTTAGTAAGTAAGTATTGTGTAACTACTGTTGTGTATGAGTTCAAGGGAAAACAAGATTAACAGTCGTCAAATTATCAAGGACTTAAATACTTCTGTATGAAGTTGATAATGCAGTTTCTACATTCGATGATATTAGATGGTTTGAGGCAATCGGCCATACAAGCCACACCCGACCTAGGTTTTGTGCTAGTTGTCACTCACCCAGTCAGCAAGGTGTATCTGCAACCATGAAGGAACTCATGTCGTTTCTGTGATTCGAACCCACATTACCCAGTGCTGCAGTCGGAAACGTTACCACTGAGCTATTCGGACTCACGATTGACTGCCTGTAGGACTATATCGGATACTTTTATTGGACATTGGTAACTAGTGGGATGCGTCTGGCTAGTCCTTTGTTTCGTGCAGACTCAGTCAGGTTTGTAATGTGACCACCATTCTAGGTGGCTCGCTATCGTGGTACATTTTGGATTGTTGATATTACATGTGGTTGGAGGTAGTAGCTTAGTGGCAATGTCTCTGACTCACTACAGTACTGGGTGATGCGGGTTCGAATCTCAGAAAAGACACGAGTTCCTTCAAGGTTGCCTTGCTGATTGGTGAGTGACAACTAGCACATAACCTAGGTCAGGTGCGGCTTCCTGTGGCCGATTGCCTCTAACCATCTAATATTAGCACTTCAGAGTGCACCGTGATGGCGAGCTCCCTAGAATGGTGGCCAAATTGCAAACTTGACTGATAGAATTCAGTCTGCACCAAACAAAGGACTAGACACATCACACTAGTTACTGACTAGTGCTCAATCAAAGTTTTTACATTCAGCGAGGAAAATTTTCTCTATAGACGAAATCATTTTCACAGACTGTACAGTCGTATTTATACTTACCAAAAAATATATAGTGGTCTATTATTGAGTAATAGGGAGTGACATAATTGATATAATTATTCAGAAGTGGCTTTAGAAATGAAAAAATAAAAGTTGTAAATATGCTCCTTCTGTACAAATCACACCCTTTTCACACTTGTTAAATTGACACTCAACTACCTTTATTCTCACTCAATAGCAGTTTTAACCTTATCAAATTTGTGACTTTGTGCTGTTGAGTACCACGTAATTTACAACTTTTATTTTTTCATTTCTAAAGCCACTTCCGAGTAATTATATCAATTATGTCACTCCCTATTACTCAATAAATAGACCACTATATATTTTTTGGTAAGTATAAATACGACTGTACAGCCTGTGAAGATGATTTCGTCAATAAAGAAAATTTTCCTCACTGAATCTGTCTTTTATTTACTTCATGACTCAATGGGTATTTTCGGTTACTAAATTCATAAAGTAACAAATTATAAGTTTTGTAAAGTAGCACACATTTTGTAGAAAATACGATTTATTAAAAGCAGAGGGCGATGACTAACTGTAGGAAAGAAATCAAGTAGGAAAAATTGTGTATTGATAGTGTAACCTATGAATGAAAGCTTCGACAAATCATCTCGATTGTCAGATATTACCTAGCAGGAAAGAATTTTCACTGTGGATATCTGAATTATTACAAGCTTGGTCTTGGGTTAATGATGAATTGTGCTTGAAATATAACCATGGGTTTGTCGAGAGGTTACTGTAAAAAATATTCACGCAAAACGCATTGAATAATATTAAAGAACGTATCTGTTGGGTTAGACGGTGACACGTATTATGCATACGGTTTTATTGCGTTACCATCTGTAAAGATCAGATATTTGATCCGAAAGTAGATTGAGGATCATTTATTTTTTCCTTTTTCATTCCTTTGCGTACAACGTGGAACATAGGGAGTTGCAAGCAGCTGTGGAGTGGAGTTACGGGGTGGAGTTGCTAGCCTCACATGAGACTTTATCTTTTTACCAGAGTGGTGAGAGAGTTTTAAGAGTCAGTCGGTTGAGTATCGAACCACGGATCACGTGAATGGTTGACGGACATTCTACCAGTGATGCACCCGGCAGATTTCATTTGTACATGTTAACCAGTCGAAACATAGTTTTTTATGCATCTACAACTAGTAATTTATTGATTGCGTGAAGTAACTATATAAATAACTATAATTCCTATTAAGTTTGCCTATCTGCATGGAGAAATAAACCTTGTCTTCTCAGGGCGAGAAGTAATAGTCAAGTGACCAGTCGTATATTGTTGTGTGTTTGTGTTGAGGTGACAGTAGAACAAACCAAGAAAAATCCAGTATCATCATCCCCTTTACAACAATATCACACCAACCAAAACTCAAATTTAAGAAGACGTGTTTTTTAAAGTCTTATCTTATAGACAATTAATCAATTTTTGAAAATCAAAATATTTTTGAAGATGTAGTAATGATTATCATTGACTAATTATGAAAATAATTTTTTTATTGCAAATTTCAAGTGAATGTCAACAGGATATACGCATGAAGTGAGTAATATCTGAATCTTCCGTGAGCAGGAAGTTATTTCTACAAGTCAGTGACAGAAATGGTGAATTAGACTTTGCTAGACATCACTTATCTGGGAGGCATAGTTTCAACCTCAGGCGGATGGTACGTATATGAAGATACGCAAGATACGACTTCATCAACTGGAAACCAGTTTGGAAATCCTCTGCACTAATTCTGCATACAGAAGATTCGGATTTTCAACACTGATTTCAAGTCAGTTTTTCCATATGGGCCAGAAACCTGCTCGGCGCATCAAGAAGGGGATTTCCAACAGACCAGTGCATACTTTTATCAACAGCTGCCTTTGCTAGCACTATATTGAAGATCGAATGGCCAGAAAGAAATGGCAACAGGAAACTATGGGGAAACAAACCAACCAATGGTCGATTGCTCAACAAATATGCAGAAGAAAATGGAAAAACATAGGACACATGATAAGGAGACCGTCGAATGACATCTCATGTCAAGCCCTCGAGTGGGTCGTCAGTGCTGGGGTGACATGAAGGAGATCATGTGGCGACGAGGAGATGAGAGATGATGGGAAATCGTGGGCCCAAATGAAGAGGACAGCAGAGAATAGAAGAAAGTGGAGATGTGTTGTTGAAGCCGTATGTTCCACTCGGAACCCAAGGGAATAATAATAATAATAATATTAAAGAAATCAGCTGCAAATCCAACAGTATCCTTGAAACGGATATTGAGTCCAAGCACAAATGACTCAATCAATAACTTACTAAGTCAGTTATGATTATCTTTACTATTAGATTCACAACATATGACAGGTAAGAATTAAGAAGAGTATTCAACTCAATCAATACTTAACACTATTGATAAGACATATATTCAATTATAATAAATAAATGCAATGCCATACAAAAACTACTGTGCAATCTATGACAGACTTACCCAGACATTCAGTTTGTAGGCCTAAAAGGTTATAAGTTGCAGTCAGCGCAGCAGCTTTTGTATAACTGTTTTGAGAACGCTAAAATAAAATTTTAAAATAAAATAAAAAATACATTAGCTAATATGGAAAAATCTTATAAAAACTTCTTAACGTACCTAGTGAAAATAGGCACAAAGAATAGATAACAACATTATAAATAAGCACACTAAGCATCGGTGGCACAGCGGTTAGGACGCTCGCCGACCATGCACATGGTCCGGGGTTCGATCCCCGACCGACGCACTCCTTTACCTCACTAAGCCAGAAATAGTCCTGGTAAAGAGAAAAGGTTGGGGATGAGGCTAGCAACCCCATCCTGTAAAAATAAACACTGCTACAGAAACTTCAAGCCCCTAGCTTGAAGCCCTATGTTCCACTAGGAACGTGAAGGAGTTAAGATCAGAGCTGGATAAAATAATATTAAGAACTGAATTGAGTTATTCCAGAATTCCTATCCGAATCATTACCGTCATAAAGAATAAAGATGTCATCCATATACCAGCAATAAAATGAAAATTTTCTGACAAGGTTGTTCAAAGGTCCATCTTCTAGTTTACTTAGAAAGAAATCTGCTAGAATGCGACCCAATATGGAGTCCATCGCCCTCCCCGTCGTCCACCCATATAAACCTTGCCTAGCTTACTAGTGTGTTGGTAAGAAAAGATAGAGGCGGGGGAGGACTACATGTGAGGCTAGTAACCAGATGCCGTGGAAAAAAAGCAACAAATATCACCACTGATACTTCAAACATTTTCGCCCTGTGTTAGCAATTCGAACAGAAAGGAATGAAAAGAAATAATAATAATGCTGAGTGTACGTCTGTCTGTTTTCGGCATAGAACTCTGCACATATATGCGGAAGTTCGAGTCGCCACACTTCCTCCTTGTAGCACACAAAGCAAGAGAAGAAAGTAGAAGAAATGCATACTAGAGACAGTAAACAGAGGTGTGAGACAAAGTAATAGTAATAACGAAGAACAAAACAGTTTCATTAGAAATTATAAGTCAAAGGGGGTGGATGCATCTGCGTCAGCCATTGAGAACGATTTTGAGGCATCTCACGAATTGTTTCCAACCATTGGTTTTATTTTTATTTATTTTTTTTAATTTTTGATTACAGCTTGATTCCACACCGTATTTTTGGTACAAGTATGGAATTTTCAGCGTGGATATCGGTAGCCCAAATTTTGCAGGCCGACCATAGATATCAGGTGTGCGTCGGCGAGGGCTCGAACCTCGGACCATGTGCATGGTCGGCGAGAGTCCTAACCACTGTGCCACCGTCCCGAGGACCCCAACCAGTCAGGAAGTCTACATCTTCCTACGTGGCTGGCTTAAACTAACTCTTGTGGATTTCATTGACTGATGAAGCCATGTTTTGGTTTGATTGCCGCTAGCTCTTTTCCAACCTGACCCTATGTCAGATAACATTGCCCATCGAGGAAGGGAATCGATGGCTAGGCATACGTAACACATGTCCTAACCATCTCAGTCGATGTAATTTCAGTCTCATCGATTGATTTCCCCTCACACCTACCTAGAACTTGACGCTTAACCTCAATATTGCTCACCTTATTATGCCACTTCACACGATAGATAGAACGCAGGCACCTATGATCAAAGAGAGCTAGCTAATCTTTTCATGTCTTCCACTCTCAATGGCCAGGTCTCACAGCCATAAAGGAGAACGGAGCGGACTGATGAGCAGTACACCCGCCCTTTGGTCGACAGCCGGACGGATATCACGTCTACGCCAGAGACGGCGTAAACTGGCATATGCGAAACTAGCCCTCTGTATCCGTGCTGAGATTTCGTCAGAGATCAACCCTCTGGTGTTGGCTGATGTTACTTCCCAAATAAGTGAAGCGGTCAACGTGCTCTACTACTTTACTCCCTATTTCTAAACTAGGAGTCAATTAGTCCAGTCCTGTAACATCATCTTGCATATGGCGGGAGCGAATCGCATGGCAAACATTCGTAGATTGCAGCTGAAGGTGTTCAGAAGACTCTGCATTTTGTCAGTGTCCTAGCCTAAATGGACTATATTGTCCGCATATTCTAAGTCAACGAGATTATTCTCTGGTAGTATGTTAATCCGTGAGTCTCTGAAGTGAGTTAGGGTTAAATCCATTAGTACATCTATGATGAAATTGAATAGAAATGGGGATAATGGGCATCCTTGACGGACACCACTAGTCGTCACCTCTTCAGATAACAACCCGCCGTAAGCCCTCACCTGGCTGCATGAGTTCGAGTAGAGTGCCTTGATCAATGCACTGTATTTTCTCGGCATTCTCTTTACAGCCAAGCATCGCCAGAGTACCTCTCGGTCGACAGAATCGAATTCCGCCTTTAGGTCAAGAAATATAATAGTGTTGGACGCTGATAGGAATGTCGGAGGGTGAAGATATGATCAATACACCCTCTTCCTGGTCTAAAGCCTGCCTGGCTCTCTCGTGAATGCACGTGAATGAATCAAATATTTCCAGAAATTATTTTCTGTATTATATTATTAACAACTAGAGGTAAGCGCTAATTCCCAGTCAGATGGAAGACATATTTGTATAAAATATACGAATGTCAGAGGAAAACGATGAGAACAGCTTGATGATTAAATCAGTAAATCATCGAAAAAAAAAATAATAAAGATCAACTAAATATGATAACGATGACGTAAACAGATTGAGAGACATTGCAATCATTTATTTATACAACAAATGAATTACAACATACAGGAAAAATATTTTTTCATATCCACAAAGAGATAATTGTTGTCTGTATATGTGTATATAAATAAAAGAACACTTATTGTTGAATGTGTGCGTTGGTGATACAGAGGTAGAATGCTTGCCAGCCATTCACGTGGTCCGGGGTTCGATCCCCGGCCAACGCACTCTTAGACCTCGCTTAGCTAGTAAAGGGAGAAGGTTCCGAATGAGAATAGCAATCTTACCCCGTAAAAAACAAAACTAGTGCTACCGAGACTTCAAAGCTCTAGCATGAAACCCTGTGTTCCACCGGGAAGGCAAAGGGATATAACAACAATATAGCTGAATGTGATTGTCTGTTTTTAGGATACACAATTAGAAACAAAACATCACTATGCTTTCGTTTAGAAATTTCACAGGATGATTTTTAAAAACTTACACAGAACATTTAATCTCATTGTCATGATACTGTGTTTATGGTGTTACATGTAGAGTGCATATTATGGAACCGAATACTTTGGCTTTTTTCAAAAGACACCATGGAGGAATTCAGTCTTGGATTGTGTGTATGACAAATAGCTTAATGTATGCTACATCTTATATAAATAGCCAATCAGAACTGGGGGAGGCTTAGAACTGACTTTAATTCTGCACAATTAACAAATCCATCTAGATAGGAAGCACTACTGAGCAGTGTGTGAGTGTTTTCCAAATAGAAAATAGTACAAATCCTAGATGATTTCAAAATGATTATCCCTATTACACAATCAGTTGATGGGCATTCAATAGATCCTCCAGAGTCTACAATACTCTCCAAGGGAAACTTAACCCACGGCAGGTGACAGTATGTTACCTATATCCTTTCTGAATTTGAATTCCCACATCATGATGACATATTAGAACTGTGATACTCAGTTCAAAACAACTTCAGCTGAACTGAAGACAGCAAACCGTGCAACCCGAGTGATAAAGAATCTTACATAAAATAGGCATCTACGTAATAGTTAAGTAAACACTATCTTTATTATAGCACACAATATCACCACTTGATGCTCGTAATTACGACACTAGGCATCTATCTTCTGATGGGATATGAACCAATGTTTGAAAAAAAATAGAAAACTCTATATTGATGTTTCTTAATTCAATTTTATATTTCAAGATTGCATCATAAACTGAGAGCAGTTAGAGAACCTTTGAAAGACCAGGAAGTACTGGATAGCTGTTTCGTCTGCTTAGTTCAGGAATCATCGGCAGTAGACACCTACCACGGGGTTCGAACCCAGAGCCTTCCAGTTACTGGGCAAGCTCGTAGACAATAAAGCCACTTCTTTATATTTTAGCCTTCAATAGCAAATTGTGCCAATCATTGTTAGAAAGTTACTTAGATGACAGTTTTACATAATGATGACATTTTCAACTTTTTTAGATGAAGTAATAATATTTACAGGTTACATACAATGATGAATCATAATACTGTGGGAAAATGAAATATTGCTCACACTTTACCATTTGGACTTCATTTCAGCTTTTGAAGAGATGTGAACTACATAGTGTAGAATTCTGTAGTGAACGAACTATTCCCAGGTTTTCTAATGGTCAGCTCATGATGAAATCCTGTAACCAATCAAACAAATCCCTACAAACTAATACTTGAATATCAATGAGATGCTCACTGGCGACTGGCCCTATTCAGGTAGGTAGTTACCTAGGGTTCTAATAGGAAGTCGTGGCCAGTAGGGTGCAGCAAGTCGGTTGTGAGAACAAATACTTGCCGAAGACATTGGCTAGCGGTTGCGCTATATCGTGAATTGGCAGAAGTTAGAATTCAAGGGCCAATGGATCGGGTTCCAGTGGCCTTGTAAGCTGAAGGTCCTGGGTTCGAACCCCCCTGTGGTGGGTGCGTACTGCTGAGGAGTCCCAACCTAGGATGAAACAGTTGTCCAGTTCTCCCAGGTTTTCCAATGTCAGCTCATGATGAAATCCTGTAACCGATCAATCAAATCCCTACGAACCAATACTTGAATATAAAAGTATTAGTGTGTTACCGCTTGATTATAAGAATAATCATAAATATTTCAAATGAAGTGTAGTCAAGATTTGATAGAATAGTTCTAAAATATTTGGGCGCCGAGTGAGAAGTAGACATTTGTAAAAAATTATACTTGTAAAATCTCAGCGATATTGAAATGAATAATTTCAACGTTTCGTTCGGCAATCTAGTCCGAACTTCTTCTTCAGGGAAATTAATCGAAATTAGCATAAGAGAGATTTGTATATAAAAAGGGGGACATCTCTTGTTTTTAACAACTTTGTCCAATCATGAGTCATAAAACAAATATTAACAAGCATAATAAACAAAATTGTGTATGACCTGTGATCAAAATTTTTTTTAGAACTATTCTGTCAAATCTTGACTACAGTTCATTTGAATTATTTTGCAATCGAATTAAATTAACAAAGAAACTATGTAATTGGCACAACCATCGTGTTTTCACTCTCTGTTGTCTGCAACAGAATGTGTATCGTAAATCCGTAGCTGTCTAGTCACCTGACAACTCCAGTAGGTCGAATAAAGCAGCTCAATTTTCAGAAAGAAGACAAAGTAATAAGTTTGACAGGGTGCTTCAACTAAACTCTAATCCTAAATACCATAATTTTGAAGATACATCTAATCATAAAGTTCTAGATACTAACAGTTTGAACAGACATGAAGGTGTAATGTTAGCTGATGCATAGGAAATCCTGATTAATAAATAAAAATGGATATGTATCACTAATTAATAATACTTGGTCAAAATTCCCGATTGTCTATATCTTCTTATGGAGACGTTAGCAAATATTTTACAACTGTTTACCCACACATACACACTGTGTTTAAAGTGTTTAACAAAGGTAGACCAATATTTGTAAGTCCGAGGTCAAATTTTGATCACAGGTCATACACAATTTTGTTTATTATGCTTGTTAATACTTGTTTTATGACTCATGATTGGACAAAGTTGTTAAAAACAAGAGATGTCCCCCTTTTTATATACAAATCTCTCTTATGCTAATTTCGATTAATTTCCCTGAAGAAGAAGTTCGGACTAGATTGCCGAACGAAACGTTGAAATTATTCATTTCAATATCGCTGAGATTTTACAAATATAATTTTTTACAAATCATAAATAAGTTCTCCAACACACATCAGATTCGCGTCAGAATGGTGCCTTATTGATATTTGCAATTATAAACAGTTTTAATAAACTATGTGACTACTTGTGCATGTGACAAAAATGATGATAGCGAACAAAGAGAAGTGCAAATAACTGAAAAATTTGCTTACACGCTAGGAAATACGTAATAACTCATAATTAAACGACTATGATCCATGGTTTTCGATATACCGTTAAGCTGGTCATAGGTCATATACGCTGATATTACAGTGATCGAAGTCTTTCACTTTTTAGTGAATACATTTTATAACGTGTTAGATACAGTTAAGTACACTGTTACTTTTGAATATAGAGATTTAAAAAAAAAGTTGGTGAACAGAATATGTGCTACATACTACTGATTGATTTACATCAGTAGTCAGATGCTATTCACACCAATCCGTACTGTTTGCCAGCCAGATCAAAGTGATCTAAACGCTGGAGAGTTATTTCACTCGACTGGGGGCAAAGCTCATCACTTCAAACCAAGGGGGAATGATACATGAAAATAAATTAAAGAAACGTAATGTTTTTACGACTTGATCACGGATTGATAACAGTTAAAGAATCATTGAAAACCAAGGAGTACTGAACAGCTGTTTCGTCAGCTTAGTTTGGAACTCATTGGCAGTACGCACCCACTGGGATTCGAACCCAGGACCTTCCGATTACAAGGCAAGCTCCTAAAACATTCAGCCACTGGGAACCGATTCAATGGCTCATGAATTCTAACCTCTACCAATTCGTGATTTAGCGCGACCCCAACCCATTGTCATTGGTGGGACATCCATCCACATAAGTGACATCTAATTGGGCCTCACTGGTCACTCCTTGGTTTTCAATGGTTCTCTAACTGATATGAATCCGTGATCAAGTCGTAAAAACATAACTAATCCTTACAAACCAAACTATAGAAAAGACAAGTAATACTATAAAGCGGACGTTTACAAGGGAAACTACTTTTAGCCCATTCGATAAAATCTATGGAAAACAAAGTCGTTAAGAAACTATAAATCATCATTTTGCATTCCTCACTATATTTAAAATATACACTTTTATTCTTCGTAAACAATTCATTATTATCACTCTTGAATAGTTTCTTTTATACATTTTACTAGATTTTCTTCTCTCACCTTCTTTCCACTATTAGTCAAGTGGACACTTAATCACTTTGCTTCTCAACTAATAATAGTTTTTTTCACTTTTGATTCCATTGTGTGATTGACTATTTAGTATTTTCATTTTATTTTGATTAAATACTTTTGAGTAGTAGTAACAGTTGTATGGTGGCGGGTGCTACTGATAAGGTTTATCAGTAGTATATAAAGAAATGTTCATTGGCTTAAAAAATATCAAATATCAGGAAGATACATTTGATGTCAGAGAAGACAAATGCTACAGCGTTGTGGAGATACATGGGAGACGTGAAAGGAACACAATATGAAGGTGAGGAGTAGCACAACACGGAAGATCATCCGTGCAAATGGTGCGTTGAAGATAAGGTGTATATAATTTGGCTATCTAGAGATACCAGATTCCAAATAAGCATTCCTTTACCACGTCTTTCACCTTCTACCCTTTGATACAATTTCCAATTACCTGATAACAGACTGTTATACGTTTACAGTGAATATAAATAAATACGTGTGTACACAGACATTGAAGATACACACACACACGCATACATACACACACGAATAATTTCATAACAGGGAAATTACCATGAACAATGTAAGCTTTTCAACTAAATCTCCATTCCGATGAACTTCACACCGTGCAGTTCGACCAGTAGCAATATGAGCCACCACGAGTACAGCCTAAAATATTAAATGGAACAAAACAAAAAAAATAAATAAAAGACAACTCTAAAATGAACTGAAGTAAAGAATCGAATTTTGTTTGACAACAAAGTCATTCCAGCTAGAAAAATGATGTCAGCTTGAAAAGTATTGACAAAAAAACCAGTACATTTCCACAAGGATCACTGTAGTGAATGTCAACGTTTTCTTTGTAACTGACTTCATACAACTAACTGCATTCATCATATAACAGTAAATCAGAGTGATAAAACACATTTAATATAATAGTGGAACTAATGACCAGTACAATCTTGCAAGTCAATTATCATATTTACCTATTATGTATCATTTTATTTCGAAATTGGTCACGAACTGACTTCACTTTATAGAATCATTGAAAACCAGGAAGTAACATACAGTTGCCTCTTCCTTTTTTATGACTCTTTAGCAGTAAACACCCATGACTCCACCAGGGATCGAACCCAGGATCTTTAGGTTACAAGGTGAGCTCATATTACCATTAAGTCACTGGGACAGACTTCAGTGACCCATCAATTCTAATCTAATTTCTGCCAATTCGTCCTGTAGGCAGGCAGGCACTTGTCCTCACATTCAACATGATGAGCCACGACTATCCACTAGAACTCCAGACAACTTCATGTTGTAGTCATTCACAAATAAACACTGGATTAATTTTCAAGTGCTGGTTTGTAGGGATTTAATTGGTTTCAAGGTTGATCACGGACTAACTTCTTTAGTTATTTTTATTGTTTGTTTGGCTCTAATGGTAGTGTGCATGTCTAAAACAGAAAATTATAGTAACGAGTAACAGTGCTACCTTTTGATTTAAGAGAACTGTTTGCAATTAATAGTGTTCTCTGAGCTGGTTGGTTTAGTTGCGGAGCTTTCGTCGTTCTTCTGGACGACATCTTCAGTGCAATATTTAGCATAGAGTGAAATGATTTAAATTTCCTTCATGAATGATATAATTGCGTCTCCCGGTAACCATCTTTACTTTGTATTGACCATTTTCTATTGACTTGGATTTTAAACTTTCTGGTCACATGATTTACTTTTTGTTAGTCGGTATATTTCGTCTATATTAACGTGTTTGTTTCGTGATTTTAGCGCGAACACCAACCAATGTCATCGGCAGGAACTCCATCCTCACTCCCTACCAGATGGACCCCACTGGTCGCGATTTCCCACTTGAATTAGTTTTTAGGGACTGCATTTGTTTCAGGTTAGACCACGGATTGATATCATTTAGAGAACCATTGAAAACCAGGTGGCACTGGACAGCAGTTTCGTTCTAGTTTGTGACTTATCGGCAGTATATGTTGATCAAATGTACACTGAGTGTATATCATAGATGTTTTTAGTTAATTTCAATCATTTATTATTTTATAACATGATGTGAAATCCATAACATGAACAATAGGGTCTATGTTGATAACATAATTCTTATCTTTGATTGACCACTAGATAGTAACCAGTATCATGCAAACTGAATTCTACCAGTCCAGTTTGCAATGTAGTCACAGCAAGTTAGGCGACTAGCCACCATAGCGTACTTTGAATTGATATCACATGATTGGAGGCAAGCAAGTAGTATCTTTATTGGTATAAGGTATAAGAAGTATCTGCAAACTTCCGTCCTTTCTGAGATTTGAACTGGCGTCACCAAATGTTGCAATCAGAGATGTTACCACTGAGTTATTCGGACTCACGACTGAAGTTATTTAATGCATACTTTAACCGGTCAGTAGATAGTAGCCAACCCCATGCATTTAATCCTTAGTTTGCTGCAAACTGCTTTCTGTCAGTCAAGTTATTCTTTGGTACTATACCACGATTTAAAAGTTAACCACAGGCATATAGTATTGCAAGGATACAATATATGTGTTTAAAGAATATATGATTGATAGGCTCTATCTATTCTAATGAAGTGCATTATCATAAAAGGAAACAAAATGCTCGAATAAGAAAGCCTGCAGGATTGAGATCATTAGATGACATCAGTCAGAGAACCACTGGAAAACCTGGGAGTATTGGACAGTCGCCACGGTTCGAACCCAGGACCTTCTCGTTACGAAGCAAGCTCGTAGACCATTCAGCCACTGGGATCTAACCCGATGGTTCATTAATTCCAACTTCTGGCAATTCGTGATATATATTTAGAGCAACTGTGCGTCGGGGGCACAGCGGGTAAGACGCTCGCGGACCATGCGCATGGTCTGGGGTTCGATCCCCGGCCACCGACGCACTCCTTTATCTCGCTAAACCAGTAATGAGACTGGTAAAGATGAAGGGTTGGGAATGAGGCTAGCAACCCCATCCTGTAAAATTGAAAACTGCTACAGAAACTTCAAGCCACTAGCTTGAGGCCCTATGTTCCACTGGGAACGTGAAGGAAAAAAAATTTAGCGCAACTGCCAGTCAGTGTCAAACCTCGAAATAATTTTTAGTAGTAATTAAACACATTATTTATGTGTTTTAAAACACATAGTAGAACAAATTTAAGCTAACATCAAGAATTAACATCATATAAGCAACAGGCACAGTGGAAGCCTCAAAGAGGCTATTAACTATGAACCTGACTTCTTTGTTGTTAATATCATAATTTTGGCCCCTGTTATTTCCCCCTCATACTCTCTTATTTGTACTCTACAGTGAACAACCTTCTTAAACATACTTAGCTACCTAAAATTATTATCATTGGCTTACTTTTTTTATTCTTTATTCTATTCCTTCTTTTGTGTATCTACGGGGTCCGACTTTATTATCACTATGAGTATTACAAAATTATCCTGTTAATAACCTTCATGTGATATTAGTTTTGTGGTTGTTCTTTGTTCGGCACTATTTAACTGACAATCTTGTTTGTGAACGCCGTTATCACCATCCTAAGATTTTTGTATTATGCATGATTACTCACATTACCACAACAAACACTGCATTAGTGCTGACAATAATAAAAGACCCTGAAATGTTTATTTTATGATTGTTTAGTGTATTTCAATCAATTTAACTGATCATCTTGGCTATAAACATTCTTAAGAACATCTCATAATTTCTTGTATGATTTTAGCTGTTACTGTTCACCACGCATACACATATCATAGCTTCCACTACCAAATACTGAAATATTTTTCATTATTGGTGTTTATCTTCCTTTCTACTTGGTATTTTTATTTATATTTACCTTCATGGTTCTATATTTTTTTGTTATTTTTGTGTTTTTTTGTTTTATGTTTTTTTTTTAATATTCATTTTTTGAAATACTCCTTTTAAATGTGCGATGAAATTAGATGCAATATTGTGGATATGTGCTGAAAATTCCACACTGTACCACTAGTACTGTTTCAGGAATAAAAGCAAAATTATTATTATTAAATGCTATGGTACTTTTGAAAGAGAGAGGTAAACTGTCTTCTCACTTCATTTTCATTCATCCAAGTAACTCTAGTCTCCTTTCAGGAGGATGATTAAAAAAGAAGGAATAGGAAAAGTGAGTTTTCAACATGTTTTCGGATTGACAGCTTCTAATGCTTCAAAACTGGCATATAGACGAAAATGAGATTTGAAAGTTACGGCAGTTCTGTTTGGTTTTTTCTTTAGACAACTAGAAGACATCTCTCAGATGACAAAAAAAGCTATGGAAACCACTGTGAAGAAGACTACGAATCATTTATTTAATCCAATACCTAAAAGTCAAAAAATTTTCTGAGAATTTGTATTTAATTATTCATTATAGGTCTTATCGGCATACTTATAACAAATCTGTTGTTATGTTCTAATTGTTTTTAGTCTTTTGGTTTTTTTTCACCTTTATATACTCTCCATTTTAGTAAATCTTGTTATCGCTTTAAATTATCAGAATGGTTATTTTAACAAGCTTTCGACCGATGAAACTTTCAGTGTAAGTATTCTAAAAATACACTAAGCTTATTGTCCTCAGAGCTTTGGTAAAACTTGGGAAGCTTGACGATTGTCGTATGCGACATGTTGAACGGATCTCCTCACAAGATCCCAGCGTAGTGTAATCGTCTACCCAGATTAAAAGGTATGCTTTTTGGGCACCCATCCGTACATGTCACACAATAGTTTACTTTCTCATCGGATACAAAATTTTAAAAAAATCAGTATGAAAGATGATAAACTAACTTGCTCTTTAACAGGTTGAGGATAATTCGACTCCAAGACAGCAACTATAAACTGAATGATATTCCACCAATGTTCGTTAACCACAGTATCAATAACCTGAGAAGGTAAAAGAAGAAGAAGAATTGGTTGAACTAAACACGTCTTACCAATAACGCAGCAGATTGACATGTAAAATATAAAAGCCAAAAAGGATGAATTAGTATCAGTAGTATTTATTAATCTAATTCACTATCTTGAAGCTTTTTAGATAGACATTAAACAGTGCGTTAACTATTCAACTTACAAAGTTCCAATACTAAGTTATTCGATCAGCAATCTCTAGTAAGGCATTGTCTATATATGTCTATGCGTTTCAACATAGAACTTTGCAGAGAAGTGCAGCAATTCAAGTTGCTCCACTCTATGTAGGGTACACAGGTAGAGAAAGGAAAGAAAAAAGATATTCGAATGAACTATCCATCCATTGAGGAAGGAGATGGCTTAGCATGTGCAACACATGTTCTAACCATCTCAATCGATTGGCTTCTCCTCCTTATCCTAACAGTGTACGCTCAAACTGAACAATACTACGCATTCTTAGCTATGCTAGATCGTTTATAGGGGATAGGGTGTTATACCATGGAAGAAAAGAGAGACTTAAGAAGGTGGATATGTTTAGTAAAATGTCTTTATAATCGGTCCAAGAGCCTAACTAGTAAACCAAAAGATTTAAGTAATAAAATCAAACAAATAAAGAAAGTATTACTGGTGAATAACTACTCACCAGAATTTATTTAGAAATATATGAAGAACCGTAGAAAAACTAAGGTTAGCAATAAAAAGGACGAAAATAATATTGAATTCAAAGCCTCTTTAGTGATGCCGTATATATGGAAGGAACGTCAGGGGTCTTGCGTAGCATTCTCAATGAGGCTGGAATTACGGTGGCATTTGAACCAACCACTCAATAGATTTAATTGAGGAAAAAAATAATATAATCTACCAAATGTAATGTAATGACTGTGAGGTCAATTAGTTAGGTCAACCTAGTAAATCGGGGTCAACTAGACTATTAGAACATAAAAATTTAGCTGGATCTAGAATAATTGACTCTGTCTAAATAAATAACCCAGAAAAATGCTCAGCCATTGCACTGCATTCACTTGCATGTAATCACATCACAGGCGGAGTGGCGGAGTACTGAGGAGTAATATAATTGGGTGGAGAAAGAGAGAAGTTAATCACTGAAGCTTTTTTTATCGACTCAACGTCTATACCGGAGATATGAAAAGTGTGAACAAACAACAAAGGGAAGTTGGAGAGAGACAGAAAGAGAGAAAATATGCATAAGACAAATTGTGAAGCTGTGTGACTAAATTGCTAGGATTATGAGTGGTAATAATTTACGCTCGAAACGCCATCGAGTTGTCGATACTGCATCAATGTGTGAATATTTACATAGAATTATCTAATATGGAGTTACATGCTACAACAGTGTCCAAGTTTCTACACTTACATTAATAAACTTCCCTTCAAAAACTCACTTACCAATCTGTACATCCATGGAATTACGTCATATATATATGAGACAGAGAGAGTAGTACAGGACATGCAATGTAGTGAAAGCTGCTACCTTGACGTGGTCTGTCTGTCTGTCTCTTTTCGACATAGAACTTTGCACAAATGTGCGGAAGTTCAAGTCGCCACATTCCGTGTAGCACGCGAAGCAAGAGAAGAAAGTACAAGAAAAGCATAATAGAAACAGTGAGCAGAGGTGTGAGACAAAGGAGTAATAAAGAAATACAAAACAGTTTCATTGAAGATCATAAGTCACAGGGAGTGGATGCATCTGCGCCACTGAGAACGGTTTTGAGCCATGTCACCAATTGTTTCCAACCATAGTTTTTTACCGTCCCGAGGACCCCAGCCTGGAAGTCTACACCTTTCTACGTGGCTTAGACCAACAGTTGTGGATTTCATTGACTGATGCCAAGTTTTTGTTTGACCGCCGCTAGCTTTTTTCCAGCCTGACCCTATATCCGCTAACATAGCTCGTCGAGGGCTTGAACACCGCAATGATCTATTCAAGCTATACTGGCTGAGACTTATGTCTCTTGAGGTACTACCATGCCAGGCAGGTTGTTTGGATAGCGGTTAAACAAAAAGCAGCTACCCAATCCAACATCATGTCCAATACAAAATCACAAAATTTCATGCCGGATCGGTCGTGGCCCGGATTAACAACGACCGCGCTTCCTGCTGCCGTGTCACAGGGCAGGAGTGATAAATCTGCTACTGAGACACACCAAACAAAAAAGAACGAACAAAAACAGGCCGCGTGTGAGATTGTCGCTCCTTCTGGAACACGTGCGTAGATACCGACCATGCACTGGTCCGCGCTCGGTGTGCTTACGACTGAACGGACGTAGGAAACAGCTGGCGGTAAAACCATCACGTCCCCAGCTCGATCAGGAAACTAAATCCGTATTTCAGGAAGAACTAGCTAAACACATATCTGTGTTCGACAGCTGTGCTCACCCTGAAGAAGCTTGGAAAAATATCCAGGCAGCCATAGATACAGCTGTAAAAGCTGTGAATAAGGTAAACCCAAAGGTGAGTAAAAACCACTGGATCTCCACCGCCTCATCCGAACTGATAGATGCTAGAAGACTTATTCCGGCGAGCTCCGAATTCAATGAGGAGCGAAAGCTGCACAAGAGGAAACTTACGAAAAGTCTCCGCAAGGACCGTGAACAGTGGTGGGCGACAAAAGCCAAAGAGATGGAGAAAGCTTCGAGGATAGGCAACACCAGGCAACTCTTTGGACTCATCAGGGAAACGGGTGGGAGAAGACAAATCATCAGTGAGACAATCTCGGAAAAAAATGGCACTATAATTAGCTCACAGGATAGACGACTGGATCGTTGGAAAGAGCATTATGAGGAGCAGTTTAATTTGCCCACAGCCACGCTCAACCTTCCGAGCATCCAACACCTCCCTGAATGGGATATAAACACAGGTCCTCCGTCACTAACTGAGGTTACTAAAGCTGTCACCAATCTGAAACTAGGCAAAGCAGCGGGACCTGATGGAATGACTCCAGAGGTATTTAAGTACGGTGGAGACAGCTTACTGTCCGGATTAACTGAGGTACTAGGCAGCGTCTGGGAATCAGAAGAAGTCCCATCGGGTTGGTGTAAGTCACTGATTATCCCCATATACAAGAAGGGAGACAAGTCTTCCTGTGATAATCACAGAGGGATTAGCTTGACTAATATAGTATCTAAAGTCTTAGGCTCAATAATCATGCGTAGACTGAGTGGTGCTCGGGAAGCACAAACACGAGAGAGCCAGGCAGGCTTTAGACCAGGAAGAGGGTGTATTGATCATATCTTCACCCTCCGACAGATTCTAGAACATAGGCATTCCTACCGGCGTCCAACAGTCATTATATTTCTTGACCTAAAGGCAGCATTCGACTCTGTCGATCGGGAAGTTCTCTGGAGATGCTTGGCTGTAAAGGGAATTCCGAGAAAATATATTGCACTGATTAAGGCACTCTACTCGTACTCATACAGCCAGGTGAGGGCTTACGGCGAGCTGTCATCTGAACTGATGACGACCAGTGGTGTCCGTCAAGGATGCCCATTATCTCCTTTTCTATTCAACTTCATCATAGATGTGTTAATGGACTTAACCCTAGGTGACTTCAGCGACTCAGGGATTGACTTGCTACCGGGGAATAATCTCGTTGACTTGGAATATGCAGACGATATAGTCCTTCTAGGCGAAGACGCTGACGAAATGCAGAGTCTTCTAAACACCTTGAGCCGCAATCTACGAATGTTTGGCATGCGATTCGCTCCCGCCAAATGCAAGATGATGTTACAGGACTGGACTACATCGACGCCTAGTTTAAAAATAGGAAGTGAAGTGGTAGAGCACGTTGACCGCTTCACTTATTTGGGAAGTACCATCAGCCAACCCAACGGGTTGATCTCTGACGAAATCTCAGCACGAATACAAGGGGCTCGTTTCGCATTTGTTAGTTTACGCCGACTCTGGCGTAGACGAGATGTTCGACTATCGACCAAAGGGCGGGTGTACTGCTCATCAGTCCGCTCCGTCCTCCTTTATGGTTGTGAGACCTGGCCACTGAGAGTGGAAGACATGAAAAGACTAGCTGTCTTTGATCATAGGTGCCTGCGTTCTATTTCCCGTGTAAAGTGGCATAATAAGGTGAGCAACATGGAGGTTAGGCGTAGAGTTCTAGGTAAACAGGGGAAATCAATCGACGAAGTCGTGAAGCTACAAAGACTGAGATGGTTAGGACATGTGTTACGTATGCCAAGCCATCGCCTCCCTCGACGAGCTATGTTAGCGGATATAGGGTCAGGCTGGAAAAAAGCTAGCGGCGGTCAAACAAAAACTTGGCATCAGTCAATGAAATCCACAACAGTTGGTCTAAGCCACGTAGAAAGGTGTAGACTTCCAGGCTGGGGTCCTCGGGACGGTAAAAATCTATGGTTGGAAACAATTGGTGACATGGCTCAAAACCGTTCTCAGTGGCGCAGATGCATCCACTCCCTGTGACTTATGATCTTCAATGAAACTGTTTTGTATTTCTTTATTACTCCTTTGTCTCACACCTCTGCTCACTGTTTCTATTATGCTTTTCTTGTACTTTCTTCTCTTGCTTCGCGTGCTACACGGAATGTGGCGACTTGAACTTCCGCACATTTGTGCAAAGTTCTATGTCGAAAAGAGACAGACAGACAGAATAAATTGATGTTCATCTCTCATTTTAATATATATGTGTGTATGATTTACACATAACTCGTGATATCACTCTGTTTAATAGGGATGCTCAGACTACTAAAGCATCTTAAGGCGAATAAAAAATTGCGGCATACACTCATCCATATGCCGGAACCCGGGATCGAACCGGGACATTTAGATCTTCAGTTTAACGCTCTCCCTGCTGAGCTATTCCGGCCTCAGTTGGCTGGGGTCCTCGGGACGGTAAAAACCAATGTTTGGAAACAATTGGTGATATGGCTCAAACTCACCGTTCTCAATGACTAACGCAGATGCATCCACTCCTTGTGGCTTATGGTTTCCAATGAAACTATATTGTTCTTCGTTATTACTATTCCTCTGTCCCACACCTCTGTTTACTGTCTCTAGTATGCATTTCTTCTACTTTCTTCTCTTGCTTTGTGTGCTATAAGGAGGAAGTGGGACGACTCGAACTTCCGCATATATGTGCAAAGTTCTGTGTCGAAAACAGACATATAGGGGCATACGCAGAATTCAGGTGGTACTACATTGATGTAATAATCAAGGGAAACATTTGAAACACTTACTTTTCTTTATAACTTTGTTTCAAACTTTTTTTATTTATTAACATGAAACAGTAATAATAACATGCACGGATGAGGAAACACATTATACAACTTACATGTTCATCCCGAAAGAGATTACGTAAGAAGCTAAGTGTTTGATAAACAATTAATATATGAATTTGTGCACCATTTTTAGAAAGTTTAAATTTTGAATGAGGATTAGACAAAGGCAGTTGATGCTGATTATACTGATGGGTTGTTGTTGTTGTTGTAGTACGATGGTGAATTTTCGAACGATTGAATAAATTTAAATTTGTACGATACTTTTGTTTCGAATGATTGTCATCATCATCACCAACGTTGTCGTTGTCGTTATAATTATTCTCTCCTTCTTCATTAATCCTGCTTATTTGATTATATTTAATTTCATTGTTTTCACGTGAAACCGTAATTCCTGATACTTGAACTCTATATATGCATATACATAATCAAAACAGTAGTATTAATGGTGAAGATGAGAAACAGTGATTACAATTATATGGGTATATAATATTGATTAGATAGGAAACGCCTTCTATTGAAATACAACATTTCAATGGATTGAACAATTCATAAAGTTGACGACTTTTGTGTTTAGTGTTTATTTTACGCCCTTGAAGACTAATTACAAATCAAGGATACTCTCTCTCACCTAGTGTTGCAACATCTGAGGAGCAAAACGACATGAAGTACTCGACCTTTTTTCCCTTCACATTCCCAGTGGAACATACGGCCCCAAGCTAGTGGCTTGAAGTTTCTGTAGCAGTGTTTAATTTTACAGGATGGGGTTGCTAGCCTCATCCCCAACCTTTCCTCTTAACCAGCATTATTTCTGGCTTAGCGAGGTAAAGGAGCGAGTCTGTGGCCAGGAATCGAACCCCAGACCATGTGCATGGTCGGTGAGCGCCCTAACCGCTGTGCCAAAGACGCACACTCGATCTTAAACCAGTGAAACAGCTCTCCCACGTTTAGATCATGTCGATCTAGGCAACAATCCCTAATGGTTGACGTGAGTGGCACCCAACTACTACTCATATACGTCAGTCAGTAGTATATAGTACTAACTATGCTACAGTAATCTTTTATGACAGACAAATTTCCTTTGGCCATTCCAGTGAATCAGCAACACCCAACGTATTTATTGTATTTTAATTTTAAGGAGAATGTGGGAGGATACTTGGTTTACCTCGGTCCTCTTATTCACAAAAAAATAGACTGGCTTTCATAAGACATGATATTCATTCACTCATAAAGATGCAGGCAGAAAACTACAGACACCTCATTGATTGGAAAAATGTACAAATCATAGACAAAGGCAATACCGAAAATTCCAATGAAAATCTTGATGCTCAGACGGATCTGCAGTGACCAGAAACAGATTGACATAGATTGGATTTATCAATCAGTGTATAAAAGAAAATCACATTGATAAAACGTCATTAACTTCCACGTTAAACAATTAATCAGTATCGGTACAAGTGGATTAGGGGATTGAAAATTCCCAAAAAACAACTAATTACGTTTAAAGTTGACAAAAGAGATAACCGATGAACTTGTATAGAATCCTAAAATTTCACTTCATACTGAAGTATGAATTGAAAATGATATCTAGAAGGGTTATGAAAACTGCTCAACTAAACTATCGAGCCTAGAGAACACAACTATATCAATAATTATCCACTGTAAATATGATAGATTTTTCTTTTTGTGTATGAAGTATAAGGAAATGATGGGTGGGATTGGAAAGAAAGCCTGAGTTGTGACAGTAATGGAATCAACGACTTGCAAACTGAGTTGGACACGTTTCATTTTTGCTTTGATCGGAAAAGAAATGAACAATGCAAGCAGAAAGAATGTACGTGTGGAGACACATACATAGGGAGGAGTCAGCGATCTCTGCAAGTAAGGACTGGTTTCAGAGCATATTCTTAAATGGCTTCAGAAGGAGATAGAATCCCAAGAACTCATTGATGGTGAGCAGAAACGACCTAACTCCTCTATTGCGAAACATATTACAGAGACAGGACATAAAATTGATCTTTACACGTCTTCTAAACCTATCTATAGAGGGTATTTGAGGCGTATCCTAAAATTTGTGGAAGCCCTAGCGGGTAATTAGGAAGTTTAAACCACCTTTATACGTTCACAAACAATTCGTCATCACACTAAACCACCTTCTTTGATAAACTTTGTTTTGGTACCAGCCAATGCAAATGTACTATTACCTCGCTTATTTGGTCTAGTGATCTTCATTGTTATTTTGACCTTCAATATGTCCTTTTAACTTGACCTAAGTAGTCTATTTTCTCACCGCTTAACTCTTTATTGTTGGCATAGATATATATTCCTATGACAAATCTGTGTATGATCAGTGTTCGAAATGTGTTACGCAAATACATTACACGATTCAGACAAATTACGTCTTCTTATTGCTTTGTCTACAAAGAATCAAGCCTGATAATACTATGCAGACAAATTATGATTAGCACTATTTATGAACTGAATTGTTCGCTATATTTGGGTTCTTCTTCTCCGTCACTCCTATCAGTACAAGACATATAAGCGAACAATATTGTTTTCAATTAGATCTTCTTCAGACTTCATTCCAATTTACATAGACTTATGTGTAGAATATTTTAACCAATGATAGTGATTTTGTGGATCAAATAATAATAATAATAATGTGGTAAACGTTTTGAACTTAGTTAATAACGATGATTATAATAACAACAAAATATTGATAATAAGGTTCATGCAGGTGGTGATGAGAATAACAAAGGTAGCAATATATGTATATGTAGACAATTCAATAAATAAATTAGGTCAAATTTTAAAAGTCACGTAATACTAAAGCTGAAGTGGATAGATAATCAGAGTTCAAATAAATATCATAGAAGTACGAAGGAGATTGAAAATAAGAAAGGGTGGGAGGGCTTTTGAATAGAATTCACCTATGCTAAGCAAGGGAGAGATAAAGGTAGAACAAACTTCTTTTGTATGCAAAGACTAGGACTGCTCTCTCGAATTCCCATAGCTTCGGCTATGTGTAAAAGACGGATTCGAATTCCGTTCGAAAGACTCTATCGAATGCGATAGACAACTTTGAAGGCACTATTTTTGTCCACTTCGTGACCACTATTAATCAGGTGAGCCAAAATAGAACTTCTCATAGATTTTATTTGACCTTTACCGGACCATGAAGGAAGATGCTCATTAATGCGTTTGTTAAGCTGTCTAGCTGTTCGCCCTATATAGCTTTCACCATAGGAGCAACTAAATTTATAGATACACATGGAAGTGGCACAGCTAGGTAGCTTATCTTTCACTTGAGCAGTCAAAATCGGTCGGCTGGAAAATGACAAACAAAGGGTAGCGGGAGTAAAAGTATACATAAGTATAAGTATAATACATACTACCTTTGTTATTCTTATCACCTGCATACTCCTATCAGTTCAATGTCTATGAGGAAATTTTACTCACTTTCCTTATACATGAGTTATTTTGAATCTCACTATATATACGCGGAAAATAGGTTAGCACTCACTTATTCAACGAATTCATTTCAAAAGTATTATTCATCTTAGTATTAGTTTCCCATTCATCTTTTGTATAACAAGAATAATTGAATTCTAAATTCGGTATTGATGAAGCCAATTGTAACAATTCTAACCATATACCTTTGTCAACTAGCTGACAGAAAAGATTCATACAAACAGTTGAATTAGCTGTATGCAATAGATTACTCAATCCCCAAACACCATTCAAATGTAACATGGATACAATGTCTTGCAGAGAATTGGTTGATTCAGCTGACTTAAATTTTGTTGCTACGGTAGGATGCGTTGAATTGGCATAACTAGCGTTATTCTTAATATTTTTGCTAGACGTACTAGTATTAAAACATGTAAGAGATGTGCTGGTTGATTCATTGATCGATACAACTCTAGGCAGTGAAGATGTTGATGATGATGACGATGGTAAAGTGTCATCACGATGTTGACTTGGTATATTTCCAATAGTCAGTAAACGAATAAATACGTTGGTAAATTCAGTAGCTAAAGGCTAAGGATAAATGATAAAATAAAAAAATAAACAGTATAAGAAGACTGGTAGTCCTTTATCGCTGTATTTTATAAAAAGAGGTAGACAATTTCCGAAGCTGACACACACACATATATACACAAGTAACAAAACTACTTTTTCACCTAGGAAATACACATTAAAAGGAGATGTGAACCGTGAAATCACAGTAATTTGAATAAACGACATTATATTTATAATGGAACTGCAAATTGATTTAGGCATTAATTAGTTTATAAACACTATAGGATGAAAGGTAAAGCTAATGGATTCGCACAAGGATAAAACTTGGGCACTGTGGTAGATTTATTTATATATTTTGATAAAGTCACACACTGTTATACAGTAAGTACTACTTATTGATCACGTTTCGAACACAATTTATTGTTCATCATAATCATATCAAGGTACTCACACAACTCACAGACAAGCTCTGTAGGCTATAGGACCCTGTCGACCCCATTAAACAGAATAATATAATTAACCAAATACCTTGCAATGACTGTGAGTTAAGTCAACTAGACAGGTCAGACTAGTAGATCGGGGCATGTCATCCGTTGTCTGTAGAAGTAGCCTCAGTTAAATGTCTAACAAACCGAGCAGTAGCACTATGTAGTAAAACAAAAAACCCAAACAGTGAAATGAAACAGATAGGAGAAGCGTTGTCATTCAATAACTACCCTATAATATTCATTAGGAAGATCAAAAATGATCAAAGGCAAAACAAAAATAATGGTGAAACTAATAATGATAACACAAATAAGAGAGAATATAAGGCATTTAGAGTTCCACCATATAAGGAGGGGACATCTGAGGACCTACGTAGGATTCTCAATAAAGTAGGAATAAGATTGGCATTCAAACCTACTAACTCACTCAGACACAAGCTCTGTAGGCTAAAGGATCCAGTGGACCCAATTAAACAAAGTAATATAATTTTCAAAATACGTTGCAATGACTGTGAGTGAGGTCAACTGCATAGGTAAACCTAGCAGATCAGGAGTAGTGAGATTATCAGAACATAAGAGTTTAGCTAAGGTTAAAATGATTGACCCCACGAAGATAAGTAATTCAGAAAAAAAAACTCAGCAATCGCCCTGCATGCATTAGCACACTACCACACAATAGGGTGAGACAGGGTCAAGATTCTAAAGAGTAATATAGATAGGTGGAGAGAGAGATTGATTACTGAATTCTTGTTCATCGAGTCTACGCCCAACACATGCAATAGAAGTGACGCAACGCAAATACCAGAGATATGGACGATGTTATTACCATTCAAATCCGAAGATAATAAATAATGTTAAAATGAATTCGATTCACATTATAACAAGTTATTTATTTTACTGACAAAACATCTTGTTTCCCATCGTATTGACTGACAACAGTCGTCTTATTTCGCATAGTATTATATTTCATTGACAACATTACTATTATTTCCGAATGTACTTTATCTTCCTTTCTGTTTCACGCATGTCCTATATTAATTTTGTTCATATGTCTAATAATTTTCTGTTCACGTATACAAACGAAGTCAGAAAGTTGTGTGAGGCGTATCTTGGTATGTTTATGAGCAGCAATAAACTGTGCTCGGAACGTCATCAGTAAATATTACTTACTGTATAACACTGTGAGACTTTATCAAAATAAATTTTCTATCCATAATGGAATTCAAAGATTCGTATTAAATAAATGTTTTTCACATAAAATCATTCCGACCAACTCAGGGTGGCGCTAAAGCGTCAAAAATTATGATTTACAGACTACCGCCACACGTATTGCAGGCCTACGATCATTGTGTTTCTTGATATTAGGGCTGCCTTCGATTCGTTGGACAGAACTGTGCTCGGGAACTGTCTGTTAGAGAGAGGTGTACCTGAGAAATTTGTTAACATTTTGAAAGCCCTATACAGCAACACATCAGGTAGAGTGAGGGCATACAACCAACTATCATCACTGTTCCCAACCAATAGTGGGGTTAGACAGGGTTTCCCAATCTCTCCATTTCTCTTTAACTTCGCCATCGATGACACTCTATAGTCAGCTCTGAAGGATGCGCGTGAAGGTGGTGCAGATCTGCTACCTGGAGATAGACTTTTCGACCTCGGGTATGCAGACTATATCGTCTTACTGTGCGATAGCATGCAGGCTGCCCAAATCGCACTTAATCAGTTGGCGATCAGTGTCTGTAAGTATGGTATGTACTTTGCACTGTCTAAGTGTAAAGTAATGTTACAAGATTGGCAGGAGCTTGTATCTGCACTCACTCTTGCGGGTGAACCGCTTGAAGTTGTTGATAAGTTTGAGCATCTGGGTAATTGTGTGAGTGCTGGCGGAGGGGTGACGGATGAGATTTCTAACCGAATAATGAAGGCTAGGGTGGCATACATCAACTTGAGCCACCTCTGGCGCCGTCGCAACGTTAGCCTGGCTGTCAAAGGTCGGGTATAAAATGCTTCGGTGCGGGCTGCCCTGCTCTACGCCTGTGAAGTCTGGCCTCTCCGAGTAGGCTGAGAATGTGCGGCGACTCTACGTGTTCGATCATCGCTGTCTCCACAGGATTGCTTTCGTCCGATGGCATCATCGTGTGAGTAATTCTGAGGTTCGGCGGTGTGTGTTTGAACACAGTGGAGATCACCATTCATTGGGGTTGTCATCTAGAAACACCGGCTCCGGTGGCTTGGACATGTATTGCGAGTGTCAGAGGCTTCCGTACAGGTCTGTGTTCGCTAGCTCTGGGACGGGATGGAAAAGATGGAGGGGTGGTCAGTGCATGACGTGGCATCGGGGGATGAAGGATGTTTGTGCTAGATTAGCATCGGTTGGTGTGTCACGACTCCCTGGTTGGGGTCTGCGAGATAGCTCGAATCGATGGCTCGAAACGTTATCGGATATGGCGAAAAATCGTAGTCAATGGCGAACGTGTTGCAATTTCCTTCTTTCTTCCCTTCCTGATGATAGTTAACGAATACTGTTTGAACTTGTTAAGCATGACTGTTTTCCTTCCAGATGAAGTTCTTTATCCGCTTTCTACTTATGTTTTTACTTTTAATCTATGTTTTATTATTATTCTTGTGTGGCGCATCTTTCTTGGTGCCATATTGTACCAAGTTTTTTCTGCGTTTAAATAAATAAATAAATAATAATAATACAGGGGAAAAAAGACATTGTACTGTGCGTGGGAATGTAAATAAAACAATCAGTATAATAATCAGATTGGAAAAGTCTTCTACTTACTTCTTTTAAAGGACACATTGGAAGTACTTGATTTACTAAGGTTGATGAAGCAGCTTCAACCAGTTTTGCACTTAAATAAGATCCTTCAGTAATATTAGGCAAGTTGTCATTGATTAGCTGTATTTTTATGACATAGAAGCAAAAAGTAATAGCAATAATAATAATAATAATTAGGAATAATTACTTATTAAATTTTAATAATAACGGCCAAAACAATTATTTATTGATTAAATATGAAGTCAAATTAAAAATATATTTTTAACGTCTGACATTTTCACACTTATCAATTTCCAGAATAAAAAAGATAACTAACTCTGTAACAACAGAAGGCAAGGGTCAGGCAACAGATCCTTTATTAAGCAAATCAACACATATTTATAGATTTTCATGTACATATTATAGAGTATTGTCAGCAGAAAAACACAGTCTTCTGATTGGTTGTTTCTCACAGAAAGTTAACCTTGCATCTCTTTGTGGCTGTTTCTTGAATGTCAGATCATCTATATGTTAATTGTATCCGCCTACGCAAAGCCTTTCTTCTCATTTTTCTCACGACCAATATTGGGGATATAAACGTTGACGTAAATTACTGTCTACCAATTTTGACCAACAGCCAGCTCTCACCACAACTCTACAGCACAAACAGCAATCGCATGACCCAATATCCTTAGTGTTAATGTTTCAACAGTCGACTGGACAAAATGCCTTATATACCAATCAGCCCTTTTGTCTAACTCATAGCCACTGTAAATTCGAACCTAGCGCCAAGCTCTTAAGAAAAGTGGCAAACATGTTATGACTTCAAAGTTATTTGTCTTCTACATCTGTTCACAGTCGCATGCATACGGAAACACAGATTGATGCAGCATATCAAAAGTCTACTCAGATATTTCACATGAGAGGTCATAAGCGATTTCCAAAGCCATCAGCTGATATCACAATGTCTTTTTAAGGATTCAATCGAGCAGAAATCTTTCCTGCTCTTCACCTTAGTCCCATCTATACACTAGTAAGTCGACAAGAACTAACCAAAGAACCTCCTAACATCCATTATGTGAAACGCCCACGATTAAGTGAATAACTGTAATAGAGTCGTGTATGTCTATAACATAAATCTTAAGCTCGGCATACTGCACAGTCATCTAGTGAAACTTGTTGTGTAATTTAGCATAAATTTCAGACGTTCAAAACCTCAATATACAAGTGGAAGTATTTTATCGGGGTGTTTCTCGAACATGTAATTCATTTAATTATTCACCATCATAGTTAAAATTACTTTCATGGAGGATTTCACAATGAGATCACATCATTTAGAGAACCACTGGAAAACATAGGAGTACTGGACAGCTTCACCTTAGTCCCATCTATACATCAATAAGTCAACAAGAACTAACCAAAGAACCTCCTAACTTCCATTATGTGAAACCCCACGATTAAGTGGTTCAATGGTCTACGAGCTCGCCTTGTAACCAGGAGGTCCTGGGTTCGAATCCTGGTGGTGGATGCGTACTGATTAAGAGTCCCAAACTAGGACGAAACAGCCATCCAGTACTCCCAGGTTTTCCAGTGGTTCTTTAACTGATGTCAGCTCATGATGAAATCCTCCATGCAACCAAACAAAATCCCTACAAAACCAATACTTGAAAATCACTTTCAACATGCATTTGAATCTGATAGCCTCAAAATTATCAACAATAATCAAATCAATAAACGCTAAAGAGTACAACAAATTAACTGATGTATTACTAACTTTCAATATATACTGTCCAATAGTTTGATTTCGGAAAAATGTATGATGTAAGCTGAACGATCGAGATAAGACATGCAATAAGACAACCACAGAATGCTGTTGAATATAAAAAGGAATAGAAGTTAAAAGAACTGGGTTAGTTGGAGAAAAAAATAATAACATATTAGATGTAAATGACAGAAAAACTGTTTCAGTGATGATGATAATAGTAATTCGAGGAGTTTTAAGTTGGCGTAAGTCTGTGTGTAGTGATTGGTAACAAGGCAGTAAACAATGTTATATTGCTGACTGTGTTCTAATCGATACGTGTGTGATATTATGGGTGGCGATCTAGGCGACTCGGTATCGCAGTGCATTTTGAATTACTATATGTTTAGAGGGGGGGGAGTGGGAATCAGAAATCTCTGAACTTAGATTTCGTGTTTACTGGTACCAGAAAGTGAAGTATATCTACAACCTGGTTACAGCACATTCGTGTCGAAGAGACATCAGTTCATCTGGTAGAGAAGGCATACCCTGCTGATGAGAGCAGGAAACCTAAGTTCTGGGGTTCCTGCCAACTGCTGCTTCCCATGTTCTTTCAGTTCAAATAATCTTTTCAACAACTGTTATCCGTATAAAAAAAGTAGTGTAAATATTTAGAGCTGACTTTTGTTCGTGCACACATTTATTATAAAAAAGAACATACATCCTTTGTAAATCACATAATTCACCTAAAACAGCTAGAATGATTCACTATGGTAGTTAGAAGGGATTTTAAAGCCTCTCTTTTGTGACCAGAGTATTCTGTGATGATTTGGATAAAAAGCAAATTTAAGATACAAAAACTAAAGCAATTTCGAGTAGGCTGAAATTTCCACACATCATGTTAGCATAAGAAAACAAGTAAAGCGTGAAACAAAGAAATGCTGTTGAAGATAAGATTAGGCTAAGAATAGGTGGCTGGATACTGGCTGTTAGTGACTTGACTCATGAGTGTTTACATGGCCATAAATTTGTTTAGCTGTTTGTTATTATCATGGTTTTGTAAGTCCTAACCAATTTTCATGAAAATTATTCTCTTGACTGTACATCTGCGTCTAATGCTGCTTCAATTCATTTCTTCATTATACTTTTACGTGCGCACTTGGACTTCTTTACTCGGTTGCGTTTCGAGTGGAACATACAGCTTCGGTTTGAAGTTTCATTAGCGGTGGTGTTTGATTTTTTTCGAGGTGCGGTTGCTATAGCCTCGCGCCTAACTTCCCCTCACTACCAGGTAGGCGAGGTTAGGGAGTGAGTCGGCGGCGAGTCGAACTCCTAACCATGTGCATGGCTGGCAACCGTTCTACCGCTGAACTACCGAAACAGATTGGCAATAAGACACACCTATTGTGTGACGGCTGGTTATACTAGCCGGCGCTGCCCAAACCTCGGTGAGTGGAGCGAAGTTCCAAACCGTAACCTACTGGCTGGAATTCAAGCGGCTAGGCCAATGAGTCACTGACAGACATAATATAAATATAATGGTACTTGAACTAATGCAGTTACTTTTGGAAAGTTATCCATTAACAAGAGATGAGCGTTTAAACCTAATAAGAAAACATCTGAATTGTTAACATGTTAATATAAACTATTAATTAACAACTATTTGTACTCCTATACAGATGATAGTTAGTAAGCCTCAGTAGATGGAGCCGGGCCTGACCTGTTGACCTTGTGGTTGTAAGTCGAGCACCTAGACCAATAGGAAAAAGTTCTAGAAAAATGTAGGACAAAGTGGTGAAGACATAACATTTTCGTTTCTCCATTATTATAGTTGATTTTAATACCATATATGATATCCTGGTGACCTCAGATCTCACTGTACACTGGTGAGAACAATTTTTAGGACAATAATGAAAGCTCATTGAATGTTGTTTTTTGTAATTCAATGAATTTAAAATATAGAAATAAGGGAGAAGATTTGTAGCTTAGGTGGATGATTTTCGTGTAGGTGTCTTGTCTGAACTGGATGGTTTATAGTTGCGTAACTGTGTAACGGTAGAAGACGAAGACTTAGTAAAGGCAGGTTTCTTTGCAATTTAGTGTCTCTATATAGCCAAATATGTACGCCTTATCTTCAAACCACCATTTGCACGGATAATCTTCCGTGTTGTGGTACTTCTTGCCTTCATATTGTGTTCCTTTCACGTCTCCCGTGTATCTCCACAGCGCTGTATTATCTGTCTTCTCTGACATCAAATGTATATCCCTGATATTTGTTATTTTTATGCCGATGGACATTTCTTTATATACTACTGATAAATCTTATCAGTAGCACAGGCAACAGCTGTCATTCTCTTACTAGACAACATCTCCAACACATACTTCAGACAACACAGCTACACCTGAATTTAAGATAATTATCACTATTATTATTATTATTATTAAATACCTAGTCACTCAAGTAACAAAAAATAATTATATTAAAAGAATAGTTACAATTAAAAGAAAAAGAAAATTTGTTACACGGATGAATTGCACGTACCTGAAATTTCAGAACAAGATTCTCATGTTCAGCACCTAGTGATTTTAAACGTATTGCAAAGTCAATCAACTTTGTGCACATTGTCAATTCACCGATCTACAAAAATGTGAATGAATACGAATCACATTATAGAGCAAGCTAACCACCACCACCACCACCTGAGAGTATTAAGTGAAAACAAAAGAGGAGAATAGAATTCCATTATGGATAAGATTTTATTTTGATAAATCACAGTGTTGTGCAGTATAACACTGTGTTATTCACTTATTGTTCCCTTGGGTTCCTAGTAGAACATAGGGCTTCAACTGCACGCCTCCACTTGCTTCTGTCTTCCTCCTGCTGTACTTTTCACCTGCATCCATGTTAGTCTTTACTGTTTCAAATCGTCTTCACACGATCTCCTCCATGTCACCCACCTTTGGACGTCCCACTCGCCGCTTCCCTTTCGGGTTCTACTGTGTGAATTATCAAAATGAAATCTTATCCATAATGGAATTATGCTCTACCGCAGTGCTCAAGGTTTATACTTATATCAAGGAGACTAGAAATTTAGCTTAATGTTAAGATGAAATCAAAACATGAGAAAAAAAAGATGCTATAGGAGATTAGTCACAAGTTTAATAAACTTCTGGTTATGAATCTATAGACTCAGAGTTAATCTCCCTACCTAATCATCAGATAGGCTTGAGAGTTAGTTAAATCACCTTCTTCTTACTGGATAAGCAAAAAAATATCTTTCTTGAATTAATCAGTACACAGGACAACCCTCGAATGAAGATTATTCTTTATTAAAAAGAATAAATAATAATAATAATATAGCTCAGTACATTCAGTATACCTGGTTACATATTATATAGTGAAATATACTTGGCTGGTACACGAAAGCTCACTAAATCACTCGCGTTAGGCTGGATCGAAGGATACAATAAAACGAATTTGAATCTAGAACCTACTACTAACTGGGGAACAAATTTTAAAGTCAATGAATAGTTACACCTTCACATAGAGAGGAACACGAATAAGAAAAGATACAGTGAATATAGCACTCATGATTTATTCTACTACTTATTGATAAAACAGTAGTAATTCTAAGTGAAGAAAACCAGAATACATGACTGGACCGAAGTGCTCGGTCTCAGGTTGACATGTCGGCTTCTTGTGCAGATGCTTCGACGATGTCTGGGCATTTAATTAGTATACAATTGGTGGATGGTGGCTAGCAGTGGAATCCAGGATGCACATTTCGTCCTATTTGGGACTCGTCAGCCACTGGATGTACATGTATTTCTCAGTGAGAGATGATGTTCCCACCGAGGCTCGAACCCAGTGCCCATAGTTTCAAACGCCAAAGCGTTATCCACTAGACCACTTGGGCCCCGAGAGCCACCTCTTGTGCAACGGGTCATATTAATTTAATTTAATTTTTGATTTTCCCGTCGACTGATCGGACCGAAGTGCGTTTGGAACTATGGTCACTGAGTTTGAGCCTCGATGGGAACATCATCACTCACTGAGAAATGCAGGTACATCCAGTGGCTGACGAGTCCCAAATAGGACGAAATGTGCATCCTGGATTCCACTGCTAGCCACCATCCACCAATTGAAAACCAGAATACATGGATTGTGACATAAAAAACAAACAAACAAACAAACAGGAAAACCCCACTAAGACTTGAAGGTAGTTTCTAGAGTTTTTGTTACTTTTTAGCAGTCTGGAATAAGAAAATTTCATATAAATAATTTTTCAATGAACAAACATACACTGCAATTATATATGAAGCATAAATCAAGTTTATAATTTACAGACGAAACGGTTAAAAAGGTAGCATGACGACTTAAAGAATCCCAGCTTATTTGCAAATGGTTGTATAAAAATGTCGAGAGTTAGCGAGTGGAAAGATTCAGATATATATTTTGATTTAATTTGTGCAGTAAAGTTATACGCTCAACTATTATTTAGACTTTATTCATGAACTGACATCGATTAGAGAACCAGTGGAAAACCTGGGAGTACTGGACAGCTGTCTCGTCATCCTGGTTGGGGACTCTTAATCAGTAAGTATCCATCGCCAGGGTTTAAACTCATGCCCTTCGGCTACAGGACGAGCTTATAGATCATTCAGCCACTGGGACCCAATCCAACGGCCAGCCAATGAATCCCAACTTCTGCCAATTCACGATATGGCATGACCACTAGCGAATATTATGAGGATTTGTCCCCACACGCAACCTAGTGTACCCCACTGGTCACGACTTTCCACTAGAACCGAGGTAACGACCTACTCGAATGGGGACAGTCACTAGTGAGCATCAGATTGACATTCAAGTGTTGGCTTGCAGGAATTTGACTGATTTGAGGATTTCATCATGAACTGAAATCGATTACAGGACCACTGGGAAATCTATGAGTTTTGGTCTACGAGCTCACCTTGTAACCAGAAGGTCCTAGGTTCGAACGCCCTGTTGTGGGTGAGTAGTGATGAAGAGTCCCAAACTGGGCTGACGAAACAACTGTCCAGTACTCCCGGGTTTACCAATGGTTCTCTAACTGATGTCAGTTCATGATGAACTCTTGAAACCAATCAAATTCCTGCAAACCAACGCTTCAATATTATTTAGACTGATGACAGCTAGTTTACTTAACCTTTTCAGTCCACTTCCTCGCTAAGACAGATATCTTCATCAAATTACTATACTATGGGGAAATAAATAGTAAGATTTTACGAGTAGACACGACTTATGATTATTGAAAGGGCCGAAAACATGCTCTAATACAAGCTTCAACATTGCACAAGTGGTTATATCACGTATCGTATTATACATCAGTTTATGTGAATGTGTACACGTGTACACACCTACACAGAGAGGAGTAATCGTTCTTTGCGCGTGAGGGTGGGAGAACATATACCCAAATGATTAGAAAAACAAATGAAATGTGAAACCTCGATAAAAGCAGGTGGGAGACTACCAACTTACTCTATAGCTAATTGATGTGAATCACAAGACTGATATCCAAACACCTTCCGAGATTATTTATGAAAACAGTCAGGGGCGCTTACAGAAATACACCAAGGCGATATCCATTCATAAACTTAATTACGAATTATGCGTTAACTATCTCTCTAGTTCTTAACTTTTTCCTCTGTAATTGGGAAATTCGTGAGAAAAATTCAAGGAAGCAGATAAGGCTAGTGCAGTAGAGTGCACGAAAGACGTTTATTATTGATTACTAAATAATATTCATGAGTAGTAGAGTCACTGTGAGTCAATCAAGAATCTATTACCAACAAATACGCTGACGAAAATGGAGATGGATAGGACACACGCTGAGGAGACCATTGGGCGATATCGGACGCCAAGCCCTCGAGTGGAACTCGAATGGGAAATGACGAGTCAGGCGTTTGAAGGTGATATGGAAGAGATCATATGAAAAGGAGGTGAAAGACTATGGGCTATCATAAGGCCAGCTGAAGAGGACTGAAGACAATAGGATAAAATGGAGACGTGCTGCAGAAGCCCTATGTTCCACTCAAAACTCAAGGAAATAATGCTAAAAACAAGCATTTTGTAGGCGAGTCAATATAAGTAATAAGAGTTACCAGTATGGAGAGAGACGCTCAACTAAGCAGTAGTCAGATTAGCCGATGATACGTGTATTCTCTCCAATACTTCGTTCATTCTTATTTGTTTTTTTTTCTATTCCTTCACGTTCCCCAGTGAAACATAGGGCTTCAAGCTGGAGGCTTGAAGTTTCTGTAGCAGTGTTTATTTTTACAGGATGGGGTTGCTAGCCCCATGCCCAACCTTTCCTTTTTACCAGCTTTTTATTTCTGGCTTAGCGAAGTAAAGGAGTACGTCGGCCGGGGATCGAACCCCGGACCATATGCATGGTTGGTGAGCGTCCTAACCGCTATGCCACCGACGCACTCTTATTTATGTTAGGATTGTCTATTTCCATCTTCTACTGAATGGTGTAGTGTACAGCCCAGGGAAAATGGACCGAATTTCTGTCTAGGTCATTTATTATGAAAGGGCCTAATGATATTTAACAAACAGCTTACACTTCAATAGATAGAAATAGTTTAGAATTATTGACCAGCTCTTTACAAGTAAAAAAAAAACATGCATTACAGTGCTGTAGAGCTTCATTTAAACACCTAACTAATAAACCGAATTGACATACAATCATTTGTGATTACTATTACCAACTATACATCACAGCACATAACGTCTTATGCAAATACATTACTGCTAATTGTCAAAAAAGGCATAATAGTAATTAGGACTTACAAGTACTCGAGTGGATTCATGACCAGATGCCAGGCAAGAGAACAGTTTAACCAGTGGAATTAAATGCTCCAGAAATTGTATATGACTTTGCTGTAAATTTGAAAAAAAAGAAAGAGAAAAAAATTAGAAAGAAAAATTCTAATTTCACAGATACACCTTAACGATTGAAAGTAAAATTTACCAGAGAAGTTTGCTGTTCACTAGTTGTCTTTTGAGAAGTGAAGAGGATCTATTACAAAAAAATTTGAAAAGTTCAACGAAAAAGATAAAAAAAAACAGAGTTTAGAAACCATAAGTAAACAAGAAATATTCTTTCAAAATAAAATTTATAATTTTTGTTATTTATTATTCTATACACTTGAATGTTTACATCAACAAATTACAGTAAAATGCCCATATATATAATGACTTTCACATCATCTCATAGTCCTTATGATTGGAAGTTGAAAAAGGCAATAGCATATAGAAATATTCTAGGATATTTATTAAACTATATGAATAGTTAGCGCTTATAATCCAACCGGTAAACATAGAGGTCCATTTAAGAGAATTGAAAAACCCAAACCGGAATTCGACAGGAATGGATGGGATATCAATCTATTTTAGACACCGGTAGCCATCGCAACACAGCTTCTGATGCTTTTCTGATACCTTATGAATCAGACTTTAAGTAATAAGCTCGAGGGAGTAATTACCTGCTTCATTTTGGAAGCCTCCACACAAAACATAAAACAACAAGCTAATCAAAACACCAACTCGCCTGTACCTGTCTGTCTGCCTATTTTAGACATAGAACTTTGCACCGATGTGCGGGAGTTCAGTTCGCCACACTCCCTCCTAGTAGCACACAAAGCAAGAGAAGAAAGTAGAAGAAATGCATAATAGAGACAGTAAACAGAGGTGTGAGACAACGGAATAGTAATAACGAAAAACAAAACAGTTTCATCGGAAATCATAAGTCACAAGGAGTAGATGCATCTACACCAGCCATTGAGAACGATTTTGAACCATATCACCAATTGTTTCCAGCCATTGGTTTTTACCGTCCCGAGGACTCCAATCAGGAAGTCTACATCTTCCTACGTGACCTAAACTAACTGTTGTGGATTTCATTGACTGGTGCCATGTTTTGGTTTGATCGCCGGTAGCTCTTTTTCAGCCTGACCCTGTGTCAGCTAACATTGCCCGCCGAGGAAGGCGATGACTAGACTAGACATGCGTAACACATGTTCTAACCATCTCACCTGTATGCTAGCAGATTACTTCAGTCATTTAATCCAGTATCATTACAATCTTATTGACTATATATTTTGTTTTATTTTCATCGTCCTGATGTTTTTTTTAGTAACTTTCCTTTTCTCAACTATTCGTTATTGTTTGAAATCTCAGTCTGTCCGTACAGATTCGAGTCGCTGGTTAATTACATTCAGAAAGAACCTTTAGTGTATAACTAATAATGGCATTTTGACACTGCATCTCACCTTATAGCTTGCTTCGATACCACTCACTGATCCCTGGACCTAGTACTAAGTGGTAATAGCGGAGGAGTGGTCAGCTTATCACATGGAACCATGAGATAAAAGGAATGGTTGCGCCGGCCTAGCATCTCTTGTCGCATAACACATTTCTGACTGGGGCGCCCAAGACAACATCCAAATCACTGACTGGAGATGCTATCAGATATGCCTGGGAAGAGAAATTAATAGTGAACACGACGGGTTTCACTTCATTCCTCTCTTTTTAAAAGCAACATGGAGTATTGAACTTTCATTTGAATGCTTTTAATAGGTATGCATGTTTGTTTTCATGCTGCTGTTCATCAATTATCCTATTCCACTTCCTCATATATATAGAGTCTCACTGTTTTTTTTCGTATAGCGCATTCTTCAATGCTCGTATTATACCACGTTTGTGTTTCAATAAAAATAATAAATATAACTTGAATACTTAATAATTTGGGGAATCGAATGAAGTTGCTATTAGATACGATAGACGGACATCAATTCGACTGGGACAACGTTCAAATATTAGACAGAGGAAACAACAAGAATACTAGAGAATTTTTTGAAGCCAGTCTGGTATTTCAGTGAATCATCAATCAATAGACACATCGAGATAGACAAAATTTATCAACCGATAAGAAAGAAATCTCACACACAAAGGATCAAAGTTCACGTCAAAGAAACAATCACTTTCAATACAAGTAACCTAGATGGTGTGAAAACATACAAAAACAACCAATCACGTCCAAGGTCATCCACCAGGAGAGATGATTAATAAACTCGTGGAGAAATCTAAAAGCTCACTTCAACGAAATGAAGTATGCGCTGAAGATGTTGCCTAGTAGTGGGGCGATGAAAGCTTCGCAAATTAACTATTCAGCTCAGAGAACACAACCACCTCAAAAAAAGAAGTTGCTATTAGAGTATTACATCAAAGTATCTAGAAAAATCACTCCTTATATAAAGCATATTTGAATACCAGGGTGAACGTTTGAGTTTAGCATTTTGTGGTAGATCTATCTTGTAAACAGTATGGAAATTATATTCAAAAGATATCTTCAAAATATATGTAAGAAGTTAACTTTAGGCAGGTTGACAATGACAAGATGAAAAAGAAGAATCCAATTTAAACCAAAATCTTGAAAGCATAAACAACTGTAACAGTTTCATCCAATTAACACAAACTATAAGGCAAGAAGTATAATTAACTTAACATAGTTTAATATGATGAAATAGCTGACTAGCAAACAAAAATTCGCGTAAATTTAACGGAGCACCATTCATAACAAACGTATGTCAAGAAAGTTATTCAGCGTTACAAACAGCAATAACATCAACAAAAACAATACAAACAAACAAACAGACGAACAAATGACAATAAAAGGTGAAAAGCAATTAATTTCAATAGACGTTCAAGTTGTAAATATATAAAGTAATTCTCAAAGAAACATCCATTCACGTCTTATCATGACAAATTTGCCTGTCATAACGTGAAGTGTTGACGTTTTTTTTCTTTTTCTCTCATAAAATAACTTTAAAGAATTTTCACTATTTCAGAATAATACATTGAAAATCAACTATTCAGATTTGGATTAATTTCAATTCGAAAAAATTCCCAGTGAGTCATATATAAAAGAAAAGGCATTCAGCAAAGAGTTATTCTCTTCGGCGATATCACTCTCTCCAGATGTACAACAATAGCAAAAGACTACTCACGAAATTGGAAAGTGTTGGTATCAAAGTCAACTTAATAAACTGGGATTAGGGAATTCCTCACAGATAGGAGGCTGAGACTCAGGATCAATTCAAAACTCTTCTCCTGGACAACAGTGTGTAGCGGAGTGCCACAAGACACGTTACTCCGGCCTCTCTTATCTATTTTGTATATCAGTGAGTTATCTCTGCTCACGGATTCCCCAATGGTCTTATACTCAGATGACTTAAAAATATAGAGAGAGCTGAAGGGAGACAGTGATACACTGATGTTACAAAGGAATCTCGACAAATTATTAGATTGGTCCAGAAAGAATGGATGCTCCCGGTCAACGTAGAGAAATGTGCAACCATAGGCATTAAACATTCAAACATCAGCTCCTACGAACTAGAAGGAATAAAACTCCCATCAGTTCAGACTCATTTGGATTTAGGTGTTATAGCAAGTCACGACTTAAAAACTACAGTACATTGTCGAGCGGTGGCTTCACGTAGTTTAAGATCCTTATGGGCGATTCCCAGAGCCTTTACTAGAATCACCAGAGATATGTTTACCTTCTTAAATACATTTCTGATGAGGTCAAGACTAGAAAACTGTATCCAGGCTGCCAGTCCTTGTCTTAAAAGGGACTCATATATTCCAGAAAGGGTTCAAAGGAAGGCAACGCGTATAATTCTTGGCATGATTAATTTATCATACAAGGAAAGACTAGGGAGTTTAAATCTCTTCTTCCTGTCATACCGTAGACAGAGAGGAGATTTAATTACAATGTTTAAAATTTTTAATGATGACTACGGACCTAACCTATTCTCTCTCTTCCTTTCCATAAGGTCAGAACACCTTAGAAGACATAGCAGGAGAGTTCAAAAGCCAAGAAGACACCATATTGTTGTGGAGTAGTGGTTCTCACACCGAGTCATAAACTCCTGGAACCGACTGTCACGTCTTGTGAATTGGACGTTCAGAAAAGATATTTTTGTGTCGGATTTGTTCTCTATTGTGATCTGAATTGATAGATGGCGGCTATTGAAGAAGTCCAAGATGTTCTCCAAATTCTCCTCAGTGTTGAAGATAATAAAAGTGTCGTCCACGTATCCCTTGTGAAACCTAAAGTTGTCAATCATTTCCTTTGGATGTGTGTTTTCTAGTTTTGACATGAAAAAATCTGCAAGCAACAGCCCAAGTAGTGAGCCCATAGTTATACAATCTTTTTGTCGACATATTTCGTTATCAAGACAGAATTAAAAATTTAGAGTGCATCTCAATGGGAATTGTTACAAATATTCAGTGCGTATACCAATGTTTATCTCCTTTGAATCAATATTTTCACATATATATATATATATATATATATATATATATATATGGGGTTGTACAACATGAGGATGAAAAGAGTAGCTTTTTGCTGAACGCCTTTCCTTTTAATTTCAATTGTTAGGCTTCATCACGAACCAACACCAGTTACAGATATCATTGACAACCTGAAAGAACCAGTTTTCATCTCTAGTGGGGTCATGAGGGTGTGCACTGTTGAAAGGTCCCAAAAATGGGAGGAAACAACAGATGTCCAGTGCTTTGTGGCTTTTAATTATCCCTTCAATGATGTTAGTTTGTGAGGAAATCTAACAATATAAAGAAAAAAATCAACTATACAATAACTACTTTAGATTGCTGATCTCTTTCACTCAAATAACCATACGACAAATAAATGTGAACCAACCATCCAACAGTCTGATGAAATACGGTACTATGATCACCCTTATTTCATCATCATCTTGAACATACAAGTGTACACAGTGTTTACAGATACCATATATAAAGAGGAGGGTGGGGGATAAATGCGTAGATAGATTTCCCAAGAGAAAAAACTGTTATGTAAAAGGCATTTTACAAAACAATATTTTATCTTATGACTACTTTTTCAGTCTGTGTGCTTATTGTTTGTCATAAAAGTTCAGATAGCAGGACAATAATGAATTGGATTTGTTGTTAGAAGAATTTGCCACATTGAACAACTTACATACCAGTGTGTATATTGTATCACAAGTTTGGACAATTTGATAAACAAACACATACCACCATCAATCGGATTATGCTTATGAAATAATTCTGTTTACAATTCACGTTTTTTTTTTTTGATTTTACTCATAATGGTTGTCATGTGCAGTGTACTTTCAACAGAAATAAATAAACACTCACATATTATCCGAACAGCAGTGTATCAAAGTTAGCTGTATAGCTAAATTGCTAACTATGTCTCATTTACACTTAAATCACTGACTCTATGTTTATTTATTGTGTAGATGAATATTATGTCACTGTTTAATAAATAGTCTTCTCGTTCTAAATCCATGATAACCATGACGATTAGAACATAGAGAACCAGTGAAATAGTACTGAGATATCTTTAGAAAATAAGCAGGCAATAATGTACCAGAAAGTACAAATAAAGTCGGTGAAACTAAAAGCCTCTAGGATAGCTGGAGATACGCCACAATGCAAGTTCAACACTCAATTAATGAAGGACACAACCACAAAGGACACTTTCACTGCAACTGTCAGAGCAAAGCAGAAAACACTACGCGACATTACTGAAGAATCATGCGTGGAAGACCATTGGAACTCTCTGAAGGTGATTTTTAACAAAACGTGTTCAACGGTTTTAGGAAGAAAGAAAAGGCAAGACAAGCAATGGCTCTCAATGGACACTTAGAAGCTAATAGAGGAGAGGAGAATGGTGAAAGAGAAAATGATTCAATGCGAAGACGGACAGGAGAAGGGGACGCTGAGCTCAACTTACAAACCATTGGACAAAGAAGTGAAGAAAAGTGCTAGGAAGGACAAAAGACGATTCTATGACAACCTCGCCACTGAAGCTTAGAAGGCAGCAGGCAAAAGAGACCTGAGGACACTATATCAGATAACCAAATCTCTATCCGGGAAGAGATCAACACAAGCGAAACCTATAAAAGACAGGCAAGGGAAGCCCATTACCAAGGAAGAAAAACAGATTAAACAATAGGCGGATCACTTCAAAGGACTCTTGAACCGACCATCACCTGCAACCCGTCCAGAAATACCAACAACAGAGCGCACACAACTGCAAGTTGACACCAATCCTCCAACGAGAGCTGTAGTCTTGAATGCAATCAAGCTTCTGAAAGCTGGAAAAGCAGCTGGACCAAATGGAATACCCCCTGAAGCACTGAAAGCGGACCCAGAGACTACGGCAGACATGCTGACTCCACTATTGCAAAAGGTCTGGAAGGAGGGAAAGGTGCCTACTGACTGGAGGAGAGGTTACCTCGTGAAACTACCAAAGAAGGGCGACTTAGGACTCTGCAAGAACTGGCGAGGAATCATGCTCCTGTCTACTCCAAGCAAAATCCTGAGTCACATCATCCTGGAGAGAATAAAGGACGCACTGGAGACAGAACTCCGACCAGAACAAGCTGGATTCAGGAAAGGCAAATCATGTTCTGACCAAATTGCAACTCTACGCATCATCATCACAGAACAAAGCATGGAATGGCAATCAAACCTCTACCTCAACTTTATAGACTTTGAGAAGGCCTTCGACAGACAGCATTGACCGCGAAGTAATTTGGAAACTACTTGAGTACTACGGTGTACCACAAATATTCATCAACCTTATTCAACAGCTGTACGACAACGACATGTGTCAAGTGATCCACAACGGAAAACTCAGCGAGGCGTTTGGAGTAAACACAGGAGTCAGACAAGGCTGTCTGCCTATTATCACCAATGATATTCCTAACTGTGGTGGACTGACTGGATTAGGCATCAAACAGTGACAGGGAAACGAGAAGACAGGGAGGGATATCCTGGACCGACGTGAAGAACCTAGAAGACCTGGATTTCGCTTTTGGATAACTTATGTTTGATGTCACTGTCACAAAATCGAAGACTTACAAGCGAAAACCGACAAACTGGTCGAAGAAGCAGCCGGCCAAGACAGGACTCCAGTTGAACATAGACAAGACGGAGGTTATGAAAATAACCAGCCAACCACAACAACAGCAGCAACATCCAGCGCCAATCACCATCAACGGGAGGGGTTTGAAAGAGGTTACTTCATTCACTCACTTATCTAGGGAGGGAGAATTGTCTCAACTACAGGAAGTCGGAACGGACGAGGATGTCAAATCGAGCGAGAATCGGGAAGGCAGGCGAGAAACACATTCATCACCAACCTGAAACCAATCTGGAAGGAAATCTTCGTCACTCAGCCAGAATCAACAACAAAATTCAGTCGGATTTTCAATACAAACGTCAAGTCAGTCAGTTCTTCTATACGGAACAGATCAGAAACTTGGAGGGCGGGCGGGTCACAAAGAATATTTCCAACAGCCTGTTGCAGACATTACCTTTATCAACAACTGTCTTCGCTGGATCTATACTGAAGATCAGATGGCCGGCCGGGCCGGAAAGAATCACCAACAAGAAACTATGGGTGGGAGCAAACAAAACAAAACAAGAACCAATCGCCCAACAAATATGCAGGAGAAAGTGGAGATGGATCGGTCACTCGCTGAGGAGACCGCTGGGTGACATCGCGCGTCAAGCCCTCGAGTGGAACCCGAAAAAGAAGCGGTATGTGGGACGTCCAAGGGTGACATGGAGGAGATCGTGTGAAGAGGAGTTGAAACAGTATGGACTAACATGCACGGATGTAGGTGAAAAGTACAGCAGAAGACAAGCAAGTGGAAACGTGCAGTTGAAGCCATATGCTCTACTAGGAACCCAAGGGAACAATAATAATAATAATAATAGTAATAATAATAATAATAAAACCCCTGATCCACTAGACTGTTCGTTCCGAATAAATTTTGACTAAATACAGGATGAAGTTGCCTGGAGTACTAAAGAGAAGTTGTGACCGCTGAGCTTCCCCGGGCTGGGTGTGAGAACAAACGCTCACCAATGATATTAGTCGGTGGTCGCGCTAAAACCGCGAATTGACGGAATTTAGAATTCATGGACCATTGGATTCCGACATAATGGCCATACATTCTACGAGCTTGCCTCATAACCTGAAGGTCATGTCTATGATCTCAGGTAGGGTCGTGGATGGGTATTGCCGAAGAGTCCAAAGCCAGGAAGAAATAACTGCCTTCCAGTCTCAGGTCTTCAATGGTTCTTTAACTGATATTAACCAGTGGTCAAGCTTGGAATTTCACTCAGTCGACGTTCTAGAGAATTTCTAGAAACTTGTTCATTTCACTCACGAAACAAATTATCACACTAGGAAAACTGTGACGTTAAAATAATCATCATATATATATATATATATAAGGTAAACCTACAGAATCTGATGCTTCTTGAACAGCTTTCAGCAAAGATGTAACACGATAGTCAACTTCACGTACAAACGAATTTGTATATACAGTCCACATATGCAATTCTGGACTCTTATCTAGCACAAGAACTAGAACATGACAAGCCCATGTCATAATACGTGTTGCTTCTAAATGAAGACAACTTTCAGTAAGCGGCTGAATGATCTATCATTAAATTAGAAGAAAAAGACAGCAAAAATTGAACAAGTTAAATACTTTAAATATTAAAAAATATTATGGGAATACATAAATAAATATAACCGAATTTGAGATTGATTTTCTTATCATAAGAGTTGCAGGGCTCAACTTAAAACAGAACCACCAATTACAAAACATATGTACTAGTCTTATATTGCAGCTTGTTCTACTCTTCTTATCTGAAGTTTAACTCTAAGTAAACACTTCTAAATCAACCTGAGTTTTGATATCAAAGCTGTTCTGAGATTATTTACTGCTAATTATACATTTTCAAGTATTGGTTTTGTAGGGATTTTGTTTGATTGCATGGAGGATTTCATCATGAACTGACATCAGTTAGAGAACCACTGGAAAACTTGGAAGTACTGGACAGCTGTTTCATCCCAGTTTGGGACTCTTCCGCAGTACGCACCCACCGGGGTTCGAACCCAGGACCTTCTGGTTGTGATATGTGTCCACATATATATTTATGTGTGTGTGTGCATGTTGGTCTCTCTTTCTGTTTGCTAGGTTAGTCTGTGACCACTTCACTTGTATGGACTTGTCTCCTTTAATAATGTGTATTCTCCTTATATTATATTATATATAATATGAGTGTTTGTTGACAGTCCGTTGCTTGGTGACATATATCCATATATGTTTGTTGGCATGTCTGCTATATTCGCTATGTATAATTGGACCGACACTCCATTATAATTAGCCATTCATGTTAAGACTGTCTAATGATTTTCCCACGCTTGTCTGAATTATTTATATATATTCGCATTCACAATTTGTGTGAACTACTTTACTTTACAACTACTTGACTTGCTTACCACTTTGGTGTGAGACCATTTATTTTCGTCTCCTTGTGTTTGGACAATAGAAGTATCATCGCAAACCTAGTGGTCTTCTGATTTCCGCCTTCTCGCGTCAGGACTATTAGTTTCTCGACCAGTCCATAATAACAATTCAGCGACGAGTACATAACAATTTGGCGACGGGGAAACTAGAACATAACAATTTGGCGACGGGGAAAACTAGTACATAACACTAGAACATAACAGGTTGTCAGCTCACGATTAAATCCTCAATGCAACCAAACAAAACCCCTACAAAATCAATACTTGAAAATAATTCTGATGCTCACTAGCGACTGGCCCTATTCGGGCAGTTAATCTGGGGTTCTAGTGGGAAGCCGTGACCAGTAGGGTACAGCAGGTTGAAGGTGAGGCAGTAACTCATCGAAGACATTGCGAAATGGTCGCGCTATGTCGTGAATCGGCAGAAGTTAGAATTCAAGGACAAATGGATCGGGTCCCAGTGGCTCAATGGTCTACGAGCTCGCCTTGTAACCAGAAGGTATTGGGTTCGAACCCCGGTGGGTCCGTACTGGTGGAGAGTCCCAAGCCAGGGTGAAACAGCTGTCCAGTACTCTCAGGTTTTCCAGTGGTTCTCTAACTGATGTCAGCTCATGATGAAATCCTCCATGCAGTTATATATTTTCCGGAATATCAGAGTAATTGAAACGTGAAGAAACAATGTTACACATCACGCAGGTCTTCAGTTTACAATAAATTGGGGGGTGGGTGGGTAAGTGGAGACTGTCTGTTTTCGACATAGAACTTTGCACAAATGTGCGACAGTTCAATTCGCCACACTCCATGTACCACACAAAGTAAGAGAAGAAGGTAGAAGAAATGCATAATAGAGACAGTAAACAGAGGTGTGAGACAACGGAATAGTAATAACGAAGAACAATATAGTTTCATTGGAAATCATAGGTCACAAGGAGTGGGTGCATCTGCGTTAGCCATTGAGAATGATTTTGAGCCATGTCACCAATTGTTTCCAACCATTGATTTTTACCGTCCCGAGGACCCCAACCAGTCAGGAAGTCTACACCTCCCTGCGTGGCTAGCCTAAACTAACTGTTGTGGATTTCATTGACTGATGAAGCCATGTTTTGGTTTGACGTCCGCTAGCTAGGGTGAGTGGGGGGATGAATTTACACAATTAAAGAACACTGATTGTAAATGAAACAGTCAGACAACTTAGCAATTAGAATAGCTGACACTGTTCAACGAAAAAGTCATCTGTATTTACTATTATTGAGAGATACACTGAACACCTTTCTTTTTAAAAAATTAAATATATCCCACAAACATTATCTGACCCTGGTTTTACAGAGGAATATAACCACTAACGTAGATTTGGTAATCACCAATAGCTTTATCACACTGACATTACAAACAAGAAAGGATCATAAAATGAATGGTATATGAGATTGTCTTGTCGCCGGAAGGTCCTGGGTTCGAACCCTGGCAGTAGGTGCGTACTGACGATGAGTCCCAAACTGCGTCGAAACAGCTGCCCAGTACTCTCTGGTCCTCAATGGTTCCCTAACTGATATCAATCTGTGGTCTACCCTGAAACAAATAGAATTCCTACAAACTAATTCTCGAAAAATATACGTATCTGTAAACTATTTAAAAAAAATTTACATGATGGGATTTGAATTTCAGTGCAAATTTCGTCATGGAACAACCTTTATAACCTAAATATCCATCTCCAGCTAGCTCATTGTCGGTTACTGAATAGATATCCAGAAGTTGTAATTGAGAAGTCATGGCCACTGGGGTCTACCACATATTAAAGTGAAGTGGATACGCTCATCAAAATACCACCAACTGGTTATAGCGCTATATCTCACGAATTGACATAATTAGAATTCACGGGTTATTAAGTCAAGATGAAGTCCACAAGATGATCTGGTAACCTGAAGGTCCGGGATTTTATCTTTAGTAGGATAGTGGGGTGTTCACCTGCTAAGACCTAAACTATGGTGAAATAGTTGCCCAGAGATTCATGGTTTCCAATGATTCTCTAACTGATTTTGCTTTGTAACAGAATCTGCATTGAAATACATACAAATTGGTATAAATTGTTGACTTTATTATCTTAAAGTTGAAAAGTGGATTACAGCAAAACTGTAATTTATGCATATTTGTTATATTTAAATAACTTACCAGTAAAGCGATATCATCTCCAGTAATTCCTAATCCTGTAGAAGTGATTACATGTGTTCCAAACTGATCTACAGCTTCAACAGTTTGTGCATTAGCATGTTGATTAGCTAAACGCCAGTAAATTAAACCCCTAAGTAAACCAGTTAATGCAAATGTTCCATGATCTAACGGTGCACAAGAACATGTTGAAACAGTAACACGACTATCAACAGGACATGTAGATCCTAATTGTCGGTCAGGAGATGAAAGTGAATCCAAGGAGTTTCGATGAAATTGTTGAGCTGTATCACTAAGATGAAATTCACTTGACAATCCAGCAGAAGAATTATTATTCATCACAGTGTTAGCAGTATTAGTAGATACAGTTGGCATAGTGCTAGTGGTGTTACTCAAAATTCGTTTAGTCCGTTGATTACGTGGTGTTGAATAACAAACATTCGGTAGAACTGGAGGCATAGTTCCAGTTAGATGACTATAACAAGCAACTAGTTTTATCGGTTCTTCTTCATTATAAACTGAATGTTGAAGCAAAGCAAAACAAAAAACAAACAAACAATAGATTGGATAAAAATTATGACTGAAGTTCTCAGATGAACTGCAAAAATTCATTCAACAAATAAGGATTCCACTTCATTAAAGTGTACAGTGTTTTGAGTAAGAAATATAATAAGGTGGAGATGTGACTCATTGGTTACGCCATTTGACTTTTAACTAATTAGGACAGTGGGTTTCGGAAGTCAGACCTTAATTTACCTACTTTAATCTGGACAACTGCAGAGTATCATCAGCTTTCGTATAATGTGTGGTTTATAGTCATTTGAGTTTTAAGGCATAATAATTAAAGGTGTATACTTTAAACTTATTTGGTAACCTGGTTTCGCTGTGATTTCATCCATATAGCATTACTTATTATTGTTATTATTATTTGTTCCCTTGGGTTTCAATTGGAACATAGGAATTCAACAGCATATCTCTACTCTTTGTTCTATTTTTTGCTATCCTCTTCAGTTGGGCCTACGACTGACCATAATCTCTCATCTCCTCCTCTCACGATCTTCTTCATTTCACCCTCGCACCGACGACCCACTCGTCGTTTCCACTCGAGCAATGGCCTAGTGTGGGATGTCATTCAACAGTCTCCTCCTCAGCGTATGGCCAATCGATCTAGATCTTCTCCTACGTATTTGTTGAACGACAGGTGTTTTGGTTAGTTTGCTCCCATAGTTTCTTGTTGCTAATTCTTTCTGGCGATCCATATAGTATACAACAACAAACATATTTCATGCTCTATAAACATTCACATAAGAAAACACTTCTGTTTATGAAAGGTGTTCTAGTTAAAAGCTGAGCAAAGAGTTATTTTTTCTCTTCATGTATTTCTCTAAAACTTCATATTTTAACTTGTTGTATATATATATATATATATATATATATATATACATATATATATAAAGTTGTAGTCAAGACTGTGTTTTACTCCACAACCCAGTCTTTTTGCTTAATGAACAAAAGTGAAATATTAATAACTTCCCACCAGCCTTGTTTTTCTCTAAAATTATAGAATGTGTATAGAGTAATTTTAGGTATAGTTGACTTAAAAACATGAAGAAAATATGAGTTAAAACGGTAAACTTAATTTAGTGGAATAAAACAACTCAAAATGCATGTTTGACCTTCCTTCTTTTCTTATTTTTCTACCAAGATTCCTTTGCATTCCAAGTGGAACATAGATCTTTAAAACTTAGGCTTTGAAACTTCAGTGGCAGGGAGGTGTTGTTTTTACGGGATGAGGTATTACCAATCTGGGCTCACTATCGCGGCTAGGCGAGGTTTACAACAGCATCGAACTTGGATACCCAATTAAGCCACTGCCTAGTGGTTTATTAGTGTAAAACTCTTCCCCTGAATTATTACTTTTCGTTTTAGGAAAAGTAGCGAGAGTTTCTTCCGGATTCTGTGGAGAACAGCTAGTGAGGAGATTTGGAAAGACTGGCACATACTTCTTTTATTTAATTGAATTCTAGATTTTTCCCGTCAATTGATTGGACCGAAGTGCTCGGTCTCAGGTTGACATGCCAGCTTCTTGTGCAGGTGCTTCAACAATGTCTGGGCATTTAATTAGAATTTAATTGGTGGATGGTGACTAGCAGTGGAATCCAGGATAAAGCGCATTTCGTCCTATTTGGGACTCGTCACTGATGTACCTGCATTCCTCAGTGAGTAATGATGTTCCCACTGAGTTTCGAACCCAAGTGGTCTAGTGGATAACACTTTGGCGTTTGAAATTCTCGACACTGGGTTCGAGCCTCGGTGGGAACATCATCACTCACTAGGGAATGCAGGAACATCCAGATGACGATTCCCAGATAGAACGAAACGCGCATCCTGGATTCCACTGCTAGTCATTATCTACCAATTAAATTATGACACACTTCCTTTCGGTTTTGAAAATAAGTTTTTGAGAAAATCAACTTATTAAAGAATACTGATTTCAGTAATGACTGAAAGTGTATGAACGAATTCACGCTGTAGTTGGTTGATTGTGTATTTTGAGTGAAATTATTTCCTGGTAGAGAAAGCTCCTTCCTACCGGCTGTTTTGGTGCTGTATAACCAGAGTAAAATGACTAGTAAAGCCTTGTATAAGCGTTAACTGAATTGATCAGCTAGTGAAAGATTTATGCAAAGTGTTTTTTCAAACAATCAGAACTAGAATAACAGTTAGGGAAACAAACTGAAGGTATCCGAACAAAGACACAACAAAAATTCATGAGGTCAATAAAATGTAACATTTTGGTAAATTTATAGTGACAGGTTGGAAAGTGCAACTATTAAAAATCACACTTAGTCTAACATTTGCTCCAAAGTAAAGTTGAGGAAAATTCCATGCATATGAACACTTTTATGAAGTCTTCAGGTAGGCAATGACATATATGAACATGTAGAGATTTTACTCAGTAATTGCATTTCTTCGCCTGGAAGTAGCTACAAACAGTTATGTGTATAATTTGTACTACTGAATCATAATCACATAATAGGTTTGCAGTAATGATGATGTCATTTGAATGAATGACTAGCAAATCAATTAGTATTATTACTATTAATCCTTTGGGTTCCAAGTGGAACATAGAGCTTCAACAACACACACGACCTACTCGTCGTTTCCCGTTTGGGATTCCACTTGAGCAATCGCCTGCATTAGGTACAATGTCATTCGACGGCCTCTTCAATGTATGCTCAATCCATCTCCACTTTCTCCTACATATAGGTTGAGCGATCGGCTCTTGGTTGATTTGTTTATTACCAGAGTTTCTTGTTACTAATTCCTTCTGGCCATTTGATCTTCAGTAAGGAGCGAAGGTAGTTGTTGATACAAGTCTACAACCTGTTGCAAATCCTTTTCGTAACACGCCAAGTTTCTGACTCGTATAGAACAACCCACTTACTTCACATTTGTCTTGAAAATTCGAATCTTGTTCTTTATGCTGGCTGAGTGCAGAAGATTTCCAAACTAGTTTCAGGTTGATGAATGTCTGTCTTACCCTTCCGATTCTGGCTGGCTTTGAGATCTTCATCCGTTCCAACTGCCTGTGGTTGAAACGATACTTCCCAGATATGTCAAGGAAGTAACCTCCGTCAAATTTATCCAGTTGATGGTGATTTATGTCGGTTATTGTTGCTGTCGGTTTGTTATCTTCGTCACAACCGTTTTCTTTATATTCACCTGATGTCCTGTCTTCGCTGCACTGCTTTTACAACCAGTTCGTCAGTTCTCGCCTGCAAATCTTTTAGTCTGTGTGACATTAAACAAGAATCACCTGCGAAATCCAGATCTTCTAGAGTCTTCTCATCAGTGGTCCACCGTAAAATTGTCTCCTCGCTCCCAATGGACAGTCTGACGCGTGATCCAGTTCTCCACAGTGAGAAATATCATCGGTGATAATATGCAGTCAGCTTTTCTTACTCCTGTGTTCACTTCGAACACCTCGCTCAGTTTTCCCATGTGAATCCCCTGGCACGTGCCACTGTTATATAGCTCTTGAACGAGATTGATAAGGACTTCGACACTGGACGACGTATTATTGAAGAAGTTTCCGAATTACTTCTCGGTCAACACTGTCAAAGACCTTTCCGAAGTCAATGAAGTTAAGGTAGAGGTTCGACTGCCATTCTATGCTTAGTCCAATGACGATGAGTGAGTTGGAATTTTGTCAGCACATGATTCGCCTTTCTTGAATCCAACTAGTTCCATGCTGGTGGAGTTCTGCATCTAGTGCATCTTTTGTTCTCCCCAGGATGGAACACAACATTAATTCAAGTTAATATCAATTAAATCAGGAAACCTGCTTAAATCACCAATGGGCCACGTAAATTTCCATCTCCCATAATATATAAACTCTTTTGTATTTGTTACTTTTGTAATCATACAATCATATTATTGTATTGCTACATGATCTCGTACAAATTTTTAATTAGCATTCGAAGTAACACTGAGCAGTTCTCAAAGGAAAGGCAGGAAAACTGCTATATAAATGATTGTACCTTACTTTAGATGGAACAGCACTGCCGGTTACTTATTTTACTGGATGGTCCTGTACGGAGAGGCTGAGAAGAATTCTGAATTATATATTAACTAACATATTGTCTAGAAAAAAGATTATTTTTATTATTATTACACATATTACTACATATATAAAGAAGTACAACATTTCCTAGTCTCACGTAAACTACTGAACAATAATGGTTATAATGACTTCATCAGTATAAATAGACAGAAGATTAAATTACGCAGAAAAGATAAATAATGTATTGTTAATCAAATTAAAGGCATTATTAGAGGCAAGACAATCACATTAAAGAGAGTGAGCAGTGACATACAAGCAACTAATACAGATTAAAGGTATATACGGTGAATACGCCTTTCATTATATATACATATACAACAAACAAATTTAATTACTTTGAATGCATACAATAAAATTGATTAGAAAGATGATTAAAATTAACTGATTGAAATCTATTCTCAGATAAATAAATAAATAAATGAAAACGATTGAATAGATATATATGCATATAATTGAAAAGAGTGCTTAAGGTTAAACTGTTTCCATTGAACAAAATTAAACTCAGTGTGATAAAAAGGGTAGCAAGTAATAGATCAGTAGATAGAAAGATTTTGTTGTATTCCTTTACGTTCCCAGTGGAACATGGGGATTCAAGCTAAAGCTCCGAGGTTTCGGTAGCAGTTATTGCTTATTTTTTACGGGATGGGTTGCTAGCCTGCCTCATGCCCAACCTTTCCTTTATACCAGTATTATTACTAGCTTAGTGAGGTAAAAGAGTGTGTCTGCTGGGGATCGAATCCCGAATCACCTGAGTAGTTGGAGAGCACTCTACCGCTCACTGTGCCACCGACTTTCGGTAAGTAATAATAATAACAAAAATAAGTCAAGCAAAAAGAAAAAATAATAATAATTGACATCAAAAACTACAATGTAGCAGAGAAATTCCACTTAACAAACACTTACTCTTTTTAAAAGAATCCAGTGCAGTTGGAAGGTGAAAGAACAGATGTAACATCAACTTCAATGAAAATCTAGCAGCCTAGGGACAAATGAAGAACACATATAAAAAACAACATTCTAATTACAACAGGATATATAAGCATATAAAGTATTTTCCTTTTGTTCATTTCTCAACCTCTTCACCGCCAAAGCTATCTTCTCACTGATGATATTATTCCCTCAGATAGTTTATTCATTTCCACTTAACTCTGTGTTGATTATTGTTCACCATGTTAACTAGAGAAGTATCGTTTGCATCGTTTCTCTTAGAATTACACTATCAACTTTATATTTCGCGTTTCAAACGTCTGAATCATACAAACCAAATCATGAAACAGTCTTCACTAGTAGATGAGTCTCTACCAAAGTGTCATATATCTGCGATACACAAACAAGATCCGATTGTGTTAATTTATTTAACTCGAGAAATTCCACACTAAAGATGTCAGAAGGTTCTTTAGATAGTCTTTGTTAATTTACTGGTATATAGATGCGACTAAGCTGAAGAGTGGGAAAACCCCTGCTCGATTGAATGTATGACAATAAAAATGTTAGAAAATATTGTGATTCAAGTAGATGGCATTTTTACAATCTCCGGTAAATCACCCAATGACTGAAGATGACCTCTTGTGTGGAAAAAAATGGAGTGAACTTCAATTATGTATATTAGCGCATGTATGAGTGACTGTGTGAGACTGGACGGACATTGAAGGAAAGAAACCACGCTGCTGTTATATGCCAATCCTTTTTTCTTAAGAACACAGAGTTGTTATTTAGGGTTAAAATAAGTAAATATTTCTATGAGCCTGACAGTAACATTCATTTCTAAGAAAAGCTGTGAAACTATAACTAATCTGCTAGTGATAAACTAGTTAATAAATACCTTTTTACCAATATAAAGCACCACTTACCGTTAACTGGGACTATTAATTAATCATCAAGAATTGATCTATAGGGATTTCATTTGTTTTTCGAATTCGACTACGGATTGACATCAGTTAGAGAACCATTGAAATCCAAGGAGTACTGGACAGCTGTTTCATCAGCCTAGTTTGGGACTCGTCGGCAGTACGCACCCACCTCCAGGGTTCAAACCCAGTGACTTGTTACAGGACGGAGTTCCTTGATGTTCTAGCGAGAAGTCGGGTCCAATAAGGTGCAATCCAGTTGGAATGGGAGGATGGATTTCCCACAGATGACGTTGGTTGGTAGTCACGCTAAAATCACAAACTGGTAGAAGTTAGAATTCATTCGCTGGCGGTTTCCAGTGACTAAATGGTATACGAGTTCGCCTCGTAACCGGTAGGTCCTGAGTTCCAACCGCTGTGGTGGGTGTGTACTGCCAATGAGTTCCAAACTAAGCTGACGAAACAACTGTCCAGTACTCCCTGGTTTTTAATGGTTCTCAAACTAATAATTATTATTATTGTTCCCTTGGGTTCCTAGTAGAACATAGGGCTTCAACTGCACGTCTCCACTTGCTTCTGTCTTCCTTCTGCTGTACTTTTCACTTGCATCTATGTTAGTCCATACTGTTTCAACTCGTCTTCACACGATCTCCTCCATGTCACCCTTTCACTGACGTCCCACTCGCCTCTTCCCTTTCGGGTTCCACTAGAGCAATGGCCTGACGCGCGATGTCACCCAGCGGCGACCTTCTCAGTGAGTGTCCATCCCCATCCATCTCCACTTTCTTCTGCATATTTGTTGGTTGGAGATTGGTTCTTGTTTTGTTCGTTTGTTTGTGCCTATAGTTTCTTGTTGCTAATTTATTCCGACCGGCCATCTGATCTTCAGTATAGAGCGAAGACAGTCGTTGGTTGATAAAGGTCTGCAACAGGGTGTTGGGAATATTCTTTGTGACCCGCCCGCCAAGTTTCTGATCCGTATAGAAGAAGTGACTGACTTGACGTTTGTATTGAAGATCCGAATTTTGTTGTAGATGCTGAGTGACGTAATTTAAACCAAATTTAGATGAGAAATTCGTTTTTCAATTGACAGTATGCTGAATAATGACAGTCTATGACTTATAAAGCTGTGAGTGAATTTAAGAGGATTAGTTACTTATAATTGATTTATGTAATAAGTATAAGTAGATGTCATATAGTATTCTCCTGACTGTGAACTATCGGGGGTGACTAGCTGTTTACTAGTTGTTAATTCTTACTGCTATATGACAGTAACCCGATCTATTTGTGAGTGTATATCAAATGGGAACAATAACAATATCATTAATAATAATAAATAAAGCCTATAATATTATCATTATATAGCAAAACACATACCAACTGATTACTCGGATTAGTTGTACGATTACAGCCAATCCGATTACACAATGCCTTTCCACGATCCATAGAACAAGATCTTAACTGATCACTGTTTGTACAGAGACGATGTCTACACGAAATGAACATAATTGTTTGATGACATAATTTCATAGCATTACAACAATGCAAGCGTTCAGCTAATTCAGCACTTGTAGACAATAAAGATAAAATTTGAATCAATGAACATCTTGCATTTGATGTTAATACAAGTGGATTAGTTATCTCTGAAGTGTGAGATGTCAAAACCGAGCTACTGTTGCTATTGTTGGTGGTGTTGTTGACATCAGTGACTATATCAGGAGGATTAATTAGCAATGAATTGATTAGTACTTCTAACGTTTTCACTGTAAACCATCGCTAAAACAAAAATAGCGAGAGATGGAATTCAATTTCAGTTAAACAAGCATTTTCGAAAAACAAAACAACACGATTTTGCAAACAATTTCTTTGTATTAATTTGATTAGTTGGTGTGTAGATTTCACGGTAGAAATCATGATAAACAGAAATCAAGTAAGAGAGAAAATCTAAACAATAAAGAGCATGAAAAGCTTGGAGAACATCAGGCCATATTTTTTTCCTTCACGTTCCCCAGTGGAACATAGGGCCTCAAGCTAGTGGCTTGTAGATTCTGCAGCAGTGTTTAATTTTACAGGATGGGGTTGCTAGCCTCACACCCAACCTTTCCTCTTTACCAACATTATTTCTGGCTTAGCGAGGTAAAGGAGAGCGTCCGTGGCCGGGGATCGAACCCCGGACCATGTGCATGGTCGGCGAGCATCCTAACCGCTGTGCCACCGACGCACTTCAGGCCATATTAACAGACATAAAAACCTACAAAACCTTTCAACCGATCCAGAATTTAAGTATCAAGGAATAAAAATACCTTTACTATATTATCATATCGGATTGAATGCGTTCAATGCATTTCGATGAAAAGGCTTGCATCGTCAGTTATGAAAACTTATTACGCATCTATCTATCACTATGGCAGAAATATGGTTTAAAATAAAATTACAGATAAGCAACATATAAGTAACCGCGTCACATCCCATTGTATTTATCAACTTACTTGCGCGTGTGTAGGCGTACACGCATCAGGAGGAGAAATTGCGATTTGTTGGTTTAGACTTTGATGCGTTTTACTACACGCATCAAAATAAAACTAACCTGACAGAGTCGGGGTGGGGGTGGGTAGACCTCCGTCTCCCTCTCGGAATGCTTTCCGTGGTAAGACGTTCATAGCTTCATTGTCTTTATGCTGCTAGTGTTCACCACAACAGTAAAAAGGTGAATGAAAACGTCTGGCGCTTACAACCGGACTGGTGGATATGTAGGCCTGTCTAAGGGGGCTGGCAAAACCTGATTGCAAACCTATGGCGCATACAGGTGCCAGAGTTCTTAAGACAATGCTATGTTTCGGTCTGAGTGTCCAGGTAGTATCCCAGCCTTCACACAGACTGGGATTTTGTGTGGTGCATCTCCTGGCGCCCATTTTGTATTTTAACAACAATAATAATAATTTTTACGTATTGGTTTTGTAGGGATTTTTGTTTGATTGGATGGAGGATTTCATCACGAGCTGATATCAGTTAGAGTACCACTGGAAAACCTGGGAGTACTGGACAGCTGTTTCGTCCTAGTTTGGGACTATTCATCGGTACGCACCCACCAGGTTCGAACCTAGGACTTTCTGGTTACAAGGCGAGCTCGTAGACCATTGAGCCACTGGGACCCGATCCAGTGGTCCTTGAATACAGCGGGTTGAAGATGAGGCAGTAACTCATCGAAGAAGACATTGAGAAATGGTCGCGCTATGTCGTGAATTGGCAGAAGTTACAATTCAGGGACAATTGGATTGGGTCCCAGTGGCTCAATGGTCTACGAACTCGCCTTGTAACCAAAAGGTCCTGGGTTGGAACCCTGGTGGATGCGTATTGCTGAAGAGTTCCAAACTAGGACGAAACAGCTGTCCAGTAATCCCAGGTTTTCCAGTGGTTCTCTAACTGATGTCAGCTCATGATGAAATCCTTCATGCAATCAAATAATAATAATCCATTGTAAGTAAAACGGTTTACTATCTCAGCTGGGAACAGTTTTTAGTATACTATATGGAAATGTAGAAAGCTTTCTCATTTGTAAATCTATGCAGAGTTTATACTCATCCTGAGGAATAGTCTCGATAATATCACTTTAGGTTTCACATCCATGATGGTGTTCTGTTTGCTGTATTTTCCCGTCTTAATTTTTTTTAGTCTCCATATTGATTTAATTGATTTTTCTATTTTCATATGAACAAATTCCACTTTTTAGTTAATAATCTGCCCCTGATTTTGATGACAATTATGACGTAATCAGAATTTAAAATTTCTTTTTAAAAAACAATCTTAAAACTCAAAGAAAAAAAATGCTAAAACAAACAGCCTACTCATTTTTAGCTTAATATGCGTCAACAAACTGTTGTGTTGTGTTGTGTACACTACTTACAATGGCAATTTTTTCTCGAAGAGATTGTACTAACACTGCGCCCAAATCTTCAGCTCGAAAAAGACTACGAAGAAATAGGAGATCTGCTTCACGTACCATAGGATCTGTTTTCTCATTCAAGATTACTGTTTTTTGGATAGTAAAAAGAGAGATGTGCAAGGTAAGAAAAAAAGGAATTGTGTAAGGCAGTAAATATGGCAATTATATTAAACACTAAGCTTATAGAAATAAATGTACAACAAATCTAGTTTTCGTGATAAACCAACACTAGCTGATAAGTTAGTGTTGAGGTTGCTTTAAGAGACGTCATAGAACGCACACACACACACACACAGAGTTCCCAAGTGAAATGAAACAGCTGTTCAGTGTTCCTCACTTTTTCATTAATGTTGGGTTATGATAAAAGTTATGTTGAAATCAGGTGTTTCCTGCAAAACTTTCTTCCCACTTGTTAGTTATGATCATATCTCGAGTTATGGTACAACTATGAGGTGTGATTTTTATAGTTTTAAATATTCCTTATCATTTGTTTAGGTGGTAGCAGAATTTTACAGCTATCAAGAACAGGTATTAAATCATTCCTATTACAAGTAAAATTGGCATAAATGTGAACAGTAAATTGAGTTTGACATAGCAGTTATTTTGAGCCACGCATCACGCTGGTTACCATAAAAAGTCGTTCTCAATGAATGGCGCAGATGCAATTGCTCTTTGTGATTTGTCATATTCAATAAAACTCCATTTTTCTCCCATATTATTATTCTTTTCCCTTTACACTACTGTTTGTTATCTCTCTTCTCGTGATTTTTGTACTAGATGGAGTGTGTAGTAACTCGAACTGCTGCACACCTGAGCAAAGTTCTACGATGAAATCAGTCGGTCACCATGGGAGATAGGAAACAGAAATGATGATTAGCACCATGTATTCAGAAAATAATCAATACACTTACTTTTAAATTTAACTCAAAAGAAAGGTTACAATTTCGATTTGGGAAATTGACTTAAGAAAATGGTACCATCTGTTAGTCCAACTGATGTATACCCTAATATGTATACTCAACTCTTATGAGAGCCACTGCTTTGTCATGAATTGAAATTCTTCATTATATTATTCGTGCCTTAGTCACTACAAGCTACGGATGTTTGTCGATATATGGTGCTATGACCATCTATCAGATTACCAATTTGCAAATTAATTTTCAATTTACGCAGTTCGAGGTGGGATTTCACCACAGTTTACTTTAGAAACGCAAATTATTCAGATCACAATACACCATCTGTTTGATACCATAAATAAACAGAAATCAAGAAAGCAAGCATATTTGCATAAATCTATATACTAATCATTAAATGAGACAAGTAGTTACCTACAACTCATATCAGCCAGTGTGCGTAGATCATTTCGATCTGTTTAGCAAGCACTAGTGTTTCAACCGCAAGCAGTCCGAACGGATGAAGATGTCAAAGCCCCAGACAGAATCGGAAAAGCAAGGTCAATCTGAAATCAGTGTGGAAATCTCCTTGACTCAACATAAACAACAAGATTTGAATTTTTAACACCGATGTCAAGTCAGTTCTTTATTATGTGTCAGAAACTTGCACTGTGCGTCACAATTAAGGATTTCCAACAAGTTACAAACCTTTAACAACAGCTTCCTTCGCTGGCTTTATATTGAATATCAAATGGCCGGCCAGAAAGAATTAGCAATAGGAAACTAAGGGAACAAACCAACCAAAAACCTATCGTTCGAGAAATACGTAGGAGGAAATGGAGATAGATCGGGCACGTACCGATAAGGGTCTGAAAGGAATAAGGGGAAATCCTTTTCCGGATTTTGACTGTTCAGTGTTTTGATAAGTTTCGTTCTCCTTTTCTCTGCTCTGTGTTGGCTAACTCTGTCGACATACTCCATGAAATCAAATAATAATAATAATAATTCTGTCGATAAAGTTAGCCAAAACAGAGCAGAGAAAAGGAGAACGAAAATTATCAAATCACTAGACAGTCGAAATCCTTCATTCCCTTCAGACCCTTATCGGTACGTCCATAATTTTTCAAGTGTTACACTAGATAAATTACAGTTAGAAGCTCTATCATTGGGTCCTAGATTTTGTGACCAAAGATATAAGGTCAATCAACTTGATATCGATATCAAGTTTGAAAACCTCCTTCTACAAACAAAAGATTTGATCCCAACGTCAGACGATGAAGTCGCTAGGTTTAAAACTATACTAGTCGACAGTTGTCAGCAGTACAAAAAAAGTAGTCATTCTAGTAAACGTTTGCTGACTAAACAGGATCATGAAGCCCTAAGAAAGCTAAGGAACAGCGAAAACATTATAATCAGTAGACCTGATAAAGGAGACGGAGTAGTACTGATGAATAAGTGCGATTACGTCGACAAAATAAATTCGCTTCTAACGGATGAAACGAAGTTCCAAGAGCTTAGTAACCCAAGAGATCTAGACGGAAAAGTTGAAAAGCAGTTAACTAAAACGCTTCAGGAGCTGACAAAAAGTGGAGTAATCTCAGAGGCAGCCTACAACCGTCTTAAATCTACTGAAAATAATACTTCACGATTGTATGGTCTGCCCAAAGTACATAAACCAGGACTTCCTCTTCGCCCAGTCCTAGATATGTTTAATTCCACCTACCAAAGTGGCTAGGTGAACTCCTCCAACCGTTACACAAGATGGTAGTAAATCATAGTGATAAAGACGTTTTTGAATTCATCGCTAACGTAGATGATATCAATGTAAATGGGAAGCAAATGCTATCCTTAGATGTAGCATCACTGTTCACCAATGTACCACTTATGGAGACTGTGGAATTCATATGCCAACAGATACTAGAAAAACAGTTTGACATCGGAATTCCAGTTATTAGTCTGAAAGAGTTGCTTTTAAGATGTACTATGAATGTACACTTCACATTCAACAACCTTTATTACAGACAAATCGACGCTATCGCCATGGATCTTCCATTGGGGCCAATTTTAGCAGATTTCTTTCTTGCTAAGGTTGAAAATGGTCCATTGAAACAAGTAATAGATAAAACTGATTCTTATTTTCGTTATGTTGATGATACGATTGTTATTCATGATGAGAAAGCTGACAAGAATGAAATGTTAATAAAATTTAGTGATGCACATCCATCGCTCATCTCCATTTGTGAAGAAGAACATGATGGTAGACTACATTTCCTTGACGTCCAATTGAGCAGAAGAGAGGATGGTTCACTCAAGAAAGATGTCTATAGAAAACATAAATCTGTAGGGCAATATACACATTTCCTCAGTTTTCTACCAATCCGATACAAAGTCAATTGGGTTAGATACCTGACGAATAGAGCAAGACGCATCTGTACAGATGACTCCCTACAAAATGAGTTAGGATACATCCAAAATACGCTGGTCAAAATGGGTTATCCTAGTAGATTTGTAAGAGACAAATGAACAATAAGGAGAAACTGAAAACAATTGAAAAGAAACAACTGTTCATAAAATTGCAATTTAATGGGGACGTGGCTAGTAGTGAAGTCTTACATCAGAGATTATCGAGAGCGATAAAACGGACTTATACTGCCGCCACACTCTGTTTGTCATTTTCCAGCCGACCAATTTTGACTGCTCAAGTGAAAGATAAGCTACCTAGCTGTGCCACTTCCATGTGTATCTATAAATTTAGTTGCTCCTGTGGAGAAAGCTATATAGGGCGAACAGCTAGACAGCTTAACAAACGCATTAATGAGCATCTTCCTTCATGGTCCGGTAAAAGTCAAATAAAATCTATGAGAAGTTCTATTTTGGCTCACCTGATTAATAGTGGTCACGAAGTGGACAAAAATAGTGCCTTCAAAGTTGTCTATCGCATTCGATAGAGTCTTTCGAACGGAATTCGAATCCGTCTTTTACACATAGCCGAAGCTATGGGAATTCGAGAGAACAATCCTAGTCTTTGCATACAAAAGAAGTTTGTTCTACCTTTGTCTCTCCCTTGCTTAGCATAGGTGAATTCTATTCAAAAGCCCTCCCACCCTTTCTTATTTTCAATCTCCTTCGTACTTCTATGATATTTATTTGAACTCTGATTATCTGTCCACTTCACCTTTAGTATTACGTGACTTTTAAAATTTGACCTAATTTATTTATTTAATTGTCTACATATACATATATTGCTACCTTTGTTATTCTCATCACCACCTGCATGAACCTTATTATCAATATTTTGTTATCATTATAATCATCGTTATTAACTAAGTTCAAAACGTTTACCACATTATTATTATTACTTGATCCACAAAATCACCATTATTGGTTAAAATTTTTTATACATAAATCTTTATATAAAAATCTATGTAAATTGGAATAAAGTCTGAAGAAGATCTAATTGAAAACAATATTGTTCGCTTATATGTCTTGTCCTAATTTACAGATTTCGCAGACTTGTGGCATATATTGCCTTAGTCTTCCCTGAAGGTATCTCAGCCCAATAGCGATGGCTAACACTACTCTCTTCTAGGAAGATGATAGTCCGGTATTCTTTACATTCACTCGAATCACCTAATTGCCTTGGATTCCACAAGCTTGTCAAAATTACATTTCATTTCAAAAGCACTTTCCGTAGTGTTTTTACAAAACATGATTAATTCTACGAAGATATCTGTAAACTCCCCTTTAATAAGTAGTCGAATATCTCATGTGCACACAAGAATATTTGGATTTTTAGATTTACAGCTTGATTCCACACTGTATTTTTGGTACAAGTATGGAATTTTCAGCATGGATATGCTATTTAAAGAGAACATCTTTAAGGATGTATACTACTAATCCAACTCAACCTGAAGAAAATAATGAAATCTCATGAAATACATATAATTTGGATATTATAGGCATCATATATAATCAAAAGAATAAGTGTACTAAGTGTGAAATAGATTCACCTTGAACTGATTGATACAGATTATTGTGATAAAGAGAAGTATGCATTCAAAATCGTTTTCTATTTATATTTTTTTCAGTGTGTTGTTCATTTTTACTATTTCACACGATAAAATTTACCAGATACTTAATAGCCTGCATAACTATACACATGTACTGTACTACACGCCGTAAAAGTTTGATAT